GAAGAGGAGGTAGCGGAGGAGGAGGTAGAGGTAGAGGAGGAGGAGGTAGAGGTGGAGGAGGTAGAGGTAGAGGAGGAGGAGGAGCGGGGAAGGAAGGGACATGGTTTCATTGTATACCAGGAGAGCTTTCTGCTTGATGCTGTTCTCTTCCCTCAGGATTTCATTCTCCTCCATAACCTCCGCAAGCTTGTCGATCATCAGTGAGGGAAAATTCAAGTGCACGAAAATCAAGGGAGAAGAGGGGCAAGAAACCTTTTTCTCTCTCTCTTTCTTCTCCTCCTTCAGTTGATGTACTGTCTTGATACTCGTCTCCATCTCCTTCCTCAGCATTGAAGTCTCTTGTTCCAATGATGAGGTTTGCGATCTCAGGGCATTCAAGTCCTCCGTCAGGATCTTCACTTGCTGCTCGAGCTGCACACATCACCATCACCACCACCATCTTCATCTCCATGATCATCTCCATGATCATCATCATCATCATCATCATCATCATCATCATCATCATCATCATCATCATCATCATCATCATCATCTCCATCATCATCCCTTTATCTTCATCATCATGATTATCATTATCGTCTCCATCATTATCATCATCTCCATCGTCTCAATCATCATCGTCATCACTTCATCTCCATCTCCATCATCACCTTTCCCGTGAGCTCATCACCATCTGCCATCTCTTTCATCATCAGTTCAATCTTCTTCTCGAGCATCTGCATGCTCCCGTTAGCTTGACCCACCTTGCCGCTGCTCACCTGCTTGTTGAAGAAGAGTTGCTCGGATGACGCGACTAAGCTCTGAAGAAAGATGAATGAGAGGAGAGGAAAACAGAGTTGAGGGGGATTAAGAAAAGAAGAAGAGGAAAGGAGGAGAAAATGAAGTGTGGGAGGAGGAGGAGGAGGAGAAGAAGTTGGAAGAGAAGGAGGAGGAAGAGAAAGAGGAAGAGGAGCCAAGAAAACACTGTGTTTCACTTTTTTCTCTTCTTCTGCTCGGATGATGTTTGAAGTCAAGTCGTCGTTCCTTACAAGCTCTTTTGCCAGCTCCTCCTTCATTTCCTCAATCTGATCTTCTCTCTTCTTCGCCTCCTGCTCCTTCGTCACTTCTCTCTCTCCTCCCTCCTCTCTCCTCTCTCCTCGCTCCAACCTCTTCCATCTGCCCTGCAGCTGCTCGCAGTCGCGCCGTCGCCTCCTCCTCTCGCTTCAGCTGAGCCCTGCCCCACTAGTCACTTCCCTCCCGCCCAGCAACCACTCCACCTGACGGCCTCGAGCTCGAGCTGCTTGCTACCCGCCTCCTCCCTGCTTGACTCCAGCTGAGAGCGGAAGCGAGTTCGCTCTTCGATGGCTGCGGCCAGCAGCTGCTCCATCTGGAGCGAAGAGAAAGAGAAGCGAGTGAGGGGAGGAGGGGGAGAGGGAGACAAGAGGAGGGAAGTGAAGGAAGAGAAAGAAGAAGAGAGGAATGAGGAAGTTGGAGAGGTGGAAGAGGAGAGAATGAAGAGGGTAGAAAGAGGAGGACCTTGGAGTTCTCTTGATGTAGAGAAGTTTTCTCTTGGTGCAGCGCATCCATACTGCGCTGCAAATTGACCCTCTGATCGAGCAGTGACTGGATCTCCCTACGTCTCGATCAGAGCAGCAGGGAAGCATTTCTAGGGGAGGAGAAAGATTGAGTAGGAGAGCTCGAGAGACGAGGAGTAGACGAGAGGGGGGGGAGGAAGCTGATTGTTTCAACATTTACGTGGAGGAGAAGCAGCCGCTGCAGAGCAAGTGGAAGGCAAGCAGGAACAAGCGCATGAGCGGGAAGAGGTCGAGAAGGAGCAGGAGGAGCAGGAGGAGCAGGAGGAGCAGGAGCAATCACAGGTTCGCCTCTTCTAGCCGGCTGCTAACTAGCTTCTTGTCCTGCTTGAGAGACTCGCAGAAGGTGCGGAGGTCGACGAGCTCAACGTCGCGGAGCGATAGATGCTGCCCGACTGCCTGCAGCTGCAGCAGGAGGAAGTGAGAGGAACGAGATGAGAGAACAGGAACAAGGAGAAGGGAGGAAGAAAAGGAAGACAGAGATGGAAGGTGAAATAGAGGTGGGGAGAAGGGCCGAGGGAAAGGGAGGAGAAGGAGGAGGAGCAGGAGGAGGAAGAGGAGGAGGAGGAGGTGGTGGTGGTGAAGAGGAAAAGGAAAGAGGAGGAGAGGTAAGAGGATGGAGAACATGGAGAGGATGGAGGTATGTCACTTGTTCTTGCAGACTTCGAATCTCATCTTTGCTTGCCTTCGCCTCAATGTTGACCTTCTTCATCTCAACAATGAGACTCAAGTTCTGATTTCTCTCCTCGTCCAGCTGCCTTTGCTGCTGCAACAACCTTGTCCTCCAGCCCTCTCCCGCCTCCTGCAGATGAACCTTGGAAACCTCCAGCTCGGCCAGGCTCTGTATCAGCAGGGACTGAAGTTGGATTGCCAGAGACTTGACGTCTTCCACCTGCCTCCTCCTCCTCTCGCTCTCCTCCACCTCCTTCTTCAACTGCTCTGCTGCCTGCCGACTCCTCTCCCTCTGCTCCTCTGCATTCCTGAGCCGATCCTCGACTCCTTCAAGCTGACGCAGCTTCTCCACCCCTCTCCTCCTCTCCTCCTCCTTCAGCTGCACCTCCACTGTCTTCACCTCCAGGTCCTGCCGGAGGAACTCGACCTGTGCCTTCATGTTCTGAGCCTCTCTCGCCAGCTTCTCCCTCTCCTGCGTCATGCGATCCAACGTTTCTCGCGCCTCCTCCAGCTCCTTCCATGCAGCAGCAGCTCGTGACCGGAAGGAGGCCAGCTCGTCTCTTGTGCTGCAGAGCTCGTCATGCTCCTTCCTCGACCTCTTCCGCATCTCGTCAGCTTCCTCTGCCATCTTCTCGTTCTTCACCCGCAGCTGGTTCAGCTGGAAGTGGATCTCCGAAGAGTCTCGCCCCAGCCTGTCTCGCTGCTCCTTGAGCTCCTTCATCTGCCGCTGCAGCTCCTTCACCTCTCCGATCAGCTCGTCCCGCTCCTGCTCCAAACTTTGCATGCTCTTGTTCCTTGTCACCTCTCCCTCCTTCCTTGCATCCTCCCGCTCGCTGTGCAGTTCCTTCACCTGGTGAGATAGAAGAGTCGCCAGTTCATCCTTGCGTCTCGCCTCCAACATGAGCCGAGTGATCGCAGCCTCCTGCACCTCGACCTCCTTCTTAAGCGCGATGTTCTCCGTCCTTAGGTCTTGCTCGTCTGCCACTGACGTCTGCCTCTCTCGCTTTACTTCCTCCAACGCTATCTGCTGCATCCTCAACATCCCCTTCAGCTCCTCATTCTGCTCCTGAACAAGAGCCAGCCGTTCCTGCAGTGCTTTCACCTCCGCTCGATCCTCCCCTGCCCCTGCCCCTGCCCCTGCCCCTGCCCCTGCTCCCAGCTTCACTCTCTTCACATCTCCCGCGTCCTCAGCGGTTGGGGGGAGCGGACCCTTGAGGGAGGCTACCAGAGACTCGAGCATGCCTACTTTGGTCTTGTAGCGCGCTTTCATGCCCTCAATGGCCGTGTAGGAGACTTTGAGGCGCCTCTGCAGGAGGAATATCTTCTCGTCACGCGAGCGGATCATCGAGCGAAGAGAGTCGGCATCTTCGATGTTCACCAGATCCACTCCATGGAGCGAAAGCCCTGCATCTACCATGGAGTCCGGGTTGCCGTGAAAACTCATGGCAGACGAGGCCATGCAGACTCGTTCAAGCCTGTTGGGATAGCACGGGCGTGAAGGTCATGCACAGGCAGAGAGACATTTCTTTGTCGTTGCTGTTTCAAAACAAGTTAGAGCGAGATGACAGATTCAAAAAGCAACTCCTACATGCTATAGCTTCCTCCCTTGTTCATGGTTCCTTTCTCATTCCTTTCTCCTTGCCCTCTCCTCTTCTCATCTTCCTCCTCTTATCATCTTCCAAGTTCTTCCCTGCGTTCAACTCTCAGGCTCCCTTGTTCCTAGGATGAACTGGCGCCATCCTGATATCTGCCTCCTTCTTCCCTCTTCGCCTTACATGCGTGGCCCTGTCCTTATTTCAAGGCTCCTGTCTACCAGGCCAGTATCCTCTGAGTCTGTCCAACAAGTCCCAACTCCCTCCCGTCCTCTCCCGTTCGTCTCCATCCCCACTGCCTGATCGCTGCCCAAACATGTTCCGGAGGCGCCGTTACAACTTTCTGACTAGACAGTTACAAACTGACGCCAAACTTTGATGGCATCGAGTCGGCGGCGCCGTGGCCGCCGGCCCCGGCGGCCCCGGCGCGGCGGTCCGGCCCGGGCCGAGCGCTCAGCCGACTGAAACTCGGCCCGGCGGCCTCGGAGTCACGGAGCACGGTCCGCCGGGGCTTTATCATCGCAGTGGCGGCACCCGGTCACTCAGTGACTGGGATGGGTCACCGTGTCCTGCTAACCGTTAGTACTAAACGGTTGCAAAACTTGACTTGAAGCTCCGAACTTCACTCAGTGACTGAATCAGGCTGCGATTGCCGGGCCGTAACGGCGGCCGGGCGGCCGGGCCCGTCACTGTCAAGCCTTGAAGCCTAAGCCAAGTTGACTCGCCGTGCCACGACTCATCACTGTAATGTCCGATGGTCACCCCGGTGCCGCCGGATTCCGGGAAGTTCCGCCGGCGCCATCATCGGCGCCGCCGCTCCGGGCCCGGGCCGCAGTGCCACTCGACTGGGGCCCAGGCGGCCCAGTGCCAGGCTGGCACTGGCAGGGAACTAACTCGCCGCCGGTAGTAGTAAGGCGGCTCGGCCCGGGCCCCGCCGGACCGTGCGGCCTAGTAGGCCGGGTCACGGTCCCCGGTACCGGCCTGAAGCCGCCGCGGTCAGTACCCCTCAAAGCCTGCCAGTCTGCGATTGAGCACCCCCGTGACCCGGCAACGTGTGGTGACATCACTGTCAAATGGTTTCAGCCAAAGTCTCAAACCTTCCGGTTTTGTGTTCAAACTGTAAGTATTTCTGGTAAAGTTTTTCAAATAACAATTGAATAGTTTGTGAAATCACTACCCCTGCAATCCTCGACCTCCCCAGTACCCCTACCCATCTCTCGAGCTCCATTTACCCCTCATAACCACCCACCCTCCTCCCATCGTTAGGTTACACACCAGTCCCCATTCCTCCTACTCCACCCCCAGCTGTACCACCCTCATCACCAACTACCCCCTGTCTGGTCGAGGTTTCCCCGACCCCTTCTTTCTAGGTGAAAACTACCTACCTTTGCACACCCAGCCACAATGATCTACCCCACCTTCAAGATCTGCCGTTAGACCAGGCTACTACCCCCTAGACCACCCTCGGTCAATCATCGTCCCAGAGTCTCTCCGAAAGTTTCACCCCTACCCCCCTGTAAAATCTACCCCACCCAATGACCCTTCATTTCTCACTACCCCTCATTTTCCAGTAATTGACACTACCCCTCATGGTATACACCCCCTGTTTCCTTCTTGTGGTACCCTAATTTGACAGGAGACTACCCCATCGGAATGCACACCACCCTCATTCTGAAACCCACCCCTTCAAGATTTGTTGACCTACCCCTGCACTCTCCAACAAAGTATATTTGGACCCCAATCTTTCAAACGATAACCGGTGATAATTTCTGGTACCCCTTCCCAATAGACCTAAGTACCCACCCCTTGCACTTTGTATAAACGAGACACGATCTACCACCCCTAAAGTCATGGGTAAAGTGGCCGATGGGACCCTATGGATATACCTAGTACCCCCCTGATGCCTTGCTACTACCCCTTGCCGTCTTCATCCTTCATGCAGCATCGGCTAGGCAACAAGCGCATCTAGCAGTGCTGCTCTCCCTTCTCTTTCGAAGCTTCTCTTTCTCCCTCTCCGACTTCCTTGTCCTTGCAGTCTGTATCCTCCGTCCTCATCGTCCTCCCACTCTCTCTTCTCCACAATCGGTCAACCTGGCTGCACTTCTTCGTTTCAAGCTCCTACAGCTATTTAACAAGCACATCCCTCTTTACCTCACAGTTGAGCTTTCTGAACCCTTCTCACTGCTTGCACCCATCTATCTATTTGCCCTCCACAACATACCGTCCTGCCAGTGACCTCGAGACCTCTACGATTGGTGAAGAACTAAAGCCTCTAGTTTGCGACACCATAACGGCACCTGCCCAGTTCCAGCATATCAGAAAAGAAGCTTGTACATTGCTGTGCAGGGATCGAAGCTCTTGGAGTTGAATCCTTCTCTCTCTTGTTTGGATAGAGTATCTCTGCGTTTTAGCAAGGGAGAAGCTCGGGGGAGAGGTATGAGAAAGGATTCGAGGCAAGTCTGAAGATGGGGTTTCTCAAGCGTCTGTTCAAGGGCAGGAAGTCCGATTCTCACCCGGATCGACTTCTAGACGGTCATACATCACATGATGCGCCTCCGTCACTTCCACAGGGCAGGAGTTCGCTCCCGCAAGCTACCAGCCTTAGGTCAGCGTCATCCGGGAATGGATCGCGTGCCGCAGACGACAGCGCTGAGTATCATGAATCCATCAGTTACGACATCCCCTACGGCTATGACATCCCGCAGCCCCAGATCAACACGCAGAAGCTGAATGAGGTTGCAAGTATGTACCCTGTGAACCCGCAAAAAGCAATTTCCAAGGCAACTCATGCTAATGGACTTCCCCCAAAGGCGAACGGGAGAGAGCCGTTTGCACTGTACAATCCACCAACACAAGAGATTCACTCCACTGTAGTTTGTAACCTGGGAGAACTAGAAGCACAGTCACCTCTGATCCACGACTATCAGGTTAAGATCCGCAAGGAGGAAGTACGAATCAAGCAACAGCGCGTGTTCAAGGGGAGATATGAGAAGAAGAACGAAAATAACATTGAGAATGGGAATGGAAATGACATATTCAATAGATATACACCTCCTCAGGGTATCCAGAATGTTGACATTCTCAGCCGTCCGATTGGATCGAATGGCCCTGTGATTGAGAATTCCTGGAATGGCAACAGGACTGTTCCCCTCTCGCCCATGGTCAGATTGAACAACTCAAGCAATCAGACTTATGTGAACAAGGAAGAAGCAACATCGCTGCCCAAACTTGATCTAGAAGTGAAGAATGTGTACACCCTGCTGAAGCCCACCGCTTCTCCTCCCTTGAAGCAGACCAAAACCTCAGGTATTTCTTTCTGAGCCTGTTTTGACTACTGATGACGAGAAAACAGCGTTTGTCATTCCAGACTTGCAAGCAGACGAAGCTGATTCAGAATTCGAGGTGGTAAACCCTGTAGAACCTGCTTGGAGCAGCGAGACGAACAACCACGTCAGTGTCGGAGCAGCTTGGAAACCTGGGAGCAGCAGCAACAGCGTCATTCCTGCCGAGCCTCCAAGGAGGATAAGCATTCTCAACGAAGATGTTCCCTTGCAAACACAATGGAAATCTACTCCTGCACCTTCTTATCCAGTCCAAGACTCTCATGCTCTGCAACCTTCCGCCATGCCCGTTCCTGCAAACGGACTGAGAGCAGATGGTGGACCTGTACTGTCTAGCGGGCATGCGATCGACCTGAGTAGGGGAGCGTTCTCATCGAGCATGCCAGTACTGAACGAGGGGATGACTGCTGTCGGAGCACACTCCCACTCCTTCACCATGGGCCACCAGGTCCCCCACAGGGAAGCAGGTGAGAACCGAATCTGTTAGCTCAGGTGCAGCTGGAAGATGCCTGACCTGGTCCAGCAGATCAATTTGATGAGATCCCGACGGACATTCCGGTGGCATCTTCAGCGCGTGTAGATCAGCTATACCAGCCTTACCAGCTGGAGGGTCTGCAGGAGCCGGTGACCTTGCGGTGCCCTGGACCTCGTTGACTCTGTGGCAGGAGCATACGAGCTACGCCCCCGCCCCCTCGAACCCAGCCGTCCCTCCTGCCGTCCCTCCAAGTCACCCCGAGCCTCAGTTTTCGCCCAGTCATCTCGCGTCTCAGCAGGGGCACCAGCTGGCGCCTCACGGGCAAGAAGCTCACTACATGTCCTCAGCCCCCAAGTCGCCGTCCATGTCGGTGAGCAGCCTGGAAGATCGCGCGGCCTTCCCTGGCTCCTTGATGGCGGGACACCTGGCGAGGTTGCAGAAGAAGCAGAAGGAGTGGCATGACCAGTGAGTTTGGGGAGGGAGGGTGGGAGGGAATGTTGCCTTACCTGGGTGCCGCAGCTTCTGCGTCCTCATCTGCAAACAGCATGACATCGACTTCGCTTATCTCCTTGAGTTGTATCATGATCGGCATGCAGCTGGTATCCAGCTCGGCGTGTGCTGTGTTGGGTTTGCTCAACCTTGTGTTTCACAGAGAGGGACGAGAAGGTGGAAAAAGTTCATGTGACCAACGCGACCATCCAGTTTGTGCAAGGTGAGGCTTCGGCACAAACATTTCTACCGCCTCTGCTGCTCCCTCTTTCTCTACCTCTGCTTGTTATTACACCTTCTGTCCCCGCTCAAGGCTTGCCGCTTCTGATATGTGGACAGGGACTGTCTTCACGGTGAAGACCACTGGAGAGCTGAACAAGAAGGGAACAACCCACTTCCTATCCGCTAACTCCGTTGATGAGGTCGTCGAAGCTCCTTCATTCTCTTGTGTTCCTCTCCTCTCACTATTGTTATTCTCCTCCCCCCTCGTGCTCCCCGTGCCTCATGCTGACAAGCTTACAGACTAAAGCATGGCTGGGAGCATTCGAGCTCGTTCCTGGCGCCCATGTGTCGTGGGTGGGCAAGGATGGAAGCACGCTATCATGATCTGTATAGCTCTCTTCCTCCTCACTACTGTCTTTTCCTTCTCCTCCTCCTCCTCCTCCTCCTTTTGCTCCTGCTGCATACAGGGCATCCAAGATTGTCCCTCCCTTCCAGTGCTGTAAATTTTTGGTTGAAAGATGTATCTGAATGAAATTAACTGAAACATGATAAAATTAACTCTGAATTTAATGGAAAAATGCACATGAAACATGGTTAGCAGGCTATGAACAGTTGAAAGGAAAATCTTGACATCTTTGAATCAAGAAAAAGTGCTGCACGGAATCGAATCATAGCTGGCTTGACTCCACGCTGTCGTTGATTCTCTGCTTCTGCTGCTGAACGTCCGGCACGCCTTGCAGGAGCTTGTCAAGGTACTTATGTGCAACTACTTCTCCCTGCTCGTTCCTCCTCCCATCTACAATCAAAGATTCGGGTTTGATGAACTCCTGGCGCAAGGACATCAGCACGGGAGAGGAGAGGCAGGATAAGCTTGTACCTGGCTCACCATGCTCATCCCCAGGTAAACCTCAGCGAGCCTCTTCTTCGTCATGAGCTGCTGGACTGACAGGAGCTGACAAACTTGCGCCTTCTGCTCCTGCTCTACAGGCTGCCTCCTCTCCTTGCGCTTCTCAGAGCTCCCAGCGATCCACCATCGATCCACGTAGGAATCACTGCGAGGATCGTTAGCAGGAAGCTAATCATCAAAGGTCCAAGTCTCACCGGTGGAGATTCAGCGACAAGGATGGCGCGATCTTCTTGGTGAAGCCCGAGAGTTTGTGCATGCAGGGAAGGAGCAAGTGGAGGATGGGGGAACCACCCATGGACATCTTGAGGTCCTCGTTGATCCCTCTGCGCATTGTCGGGAGGTTTCGACCGAAGTGAAGGGAGGTCGGGGAAGGACCGAAGGCATCTGAGAGAGAGAAGGACAAGAGGAGCACGAGAACTGAAAGGGAAGCCATGGTGCAGGAAGGAAAAACGATGGCGACAGATGTACTCGAGCTAGCACGAAAGGTGGGGCTGTGAGGGACTAGAACTTGAAACAGTGCTAGATAGCACGAATCGAGTTTCAAAAGGGACAAGATGAGAAGTAAGAGGTAGAGGAAGCAGAGGCAAGCTGTAGACCAGAAGCAGCGGGAACGGGAGCAGGAGGATGAGCAAGTGTGGATATGGAGATTCTGCGATGGGGAGTTGGCGCTGAAGGTATCTAGGGGTGGGGTATGTGTGGTGGGGTACTCAAATGCTAAAGAAAGTTGGCGTGAGACTGGAAAGCTGACACAAATTACTACATACCAAGAGGTCTCATGTGTAGTAATATTTAGTAGTCGCATTATCAGAGCCAAAATTAGAGACTGAAACGGTCAAATTATCTTATTTACTACATACATTTGACCACAATATCTGAATGGCCGCATCGACGTTTTGATTTCAAGACGAAAACTCATTCATTCATGAATGATACTCTGTTTTCAGAAAATTGGCTGGGTCGTCCTCAAGTTGACTTTGAAAATCAGAGTTGACGTCAAATGTTGTACAAATGTTCAAAATGAAAGGCGAAATTTCAAGGTATTTGAATTTAATTGGGGGAGTCGAATCATCAATTTTCAGGCACATGGGGTCCGGACCTTAGGGTGGGTGGTGATGGGCCCAATACGATCCTTCCTGACTAGAAGAGGAGGGTGGGGTGGGGGCCGGGTGAACTTCCAACAATTAGGTGACAGCCTAGGGGGTCGGAGCTGTTTGAGAGAATTAGACCAGGTGGGGGTGGTAGAAACTATATTTGATACGGGTACTATTGTAGTGATTAGAAGGGGTGAATGAATAGTTTGTTGGGAATCTTTACAGGGGTTCGTGCCTTAGGAGCCGTTAGGGTGGTTCGGCCCTTCGTCGCGAAGAGGAATTCTATGAGGGTGGTGGGGTAGTGACCACTACCCATAATTTACCCACAATTTTCAGCTAAATTACCAGGTACTTTCTCACAAGTCAAGTTGGGGAATAAAGGGGTGGTGGCGTTAGAGCACCACCCTCATTTAACACGGGCAGAAGAGTTGAATGGGGTATTGAAGTACCCCTATATTTACCTGTATATTAGGGGGTAGGGGATCACAAGGGTTTCAACCTCCTGCTATTCTTGGTACCTTTTTGGTTCATGGCTAAAGAGGTCAACTGATAATGTAACGGCCAATGTAACGGCGGCGTGCAGTTGTCCGGGCCGCCCGGCGCCGGGATTGCCACCGTTAGAGGCTGAGGCCCCGCCGCTGCTGTGACTGAGTCACCGTGACCGTACGGACTGCCCCGGTGACCGTCGCCCGCGGCCAGGGAGTGATTCGGACTGAGATGCTTCATTTGAACTGACTCTGTGATAATATACTGCTACACTGTGACAACACTGAGACTTGAAACTGTTCAAGGCTTCCACTCACGTATCACTGATCACGTGACGGTGGGCATCGCCGCCGGGGAGGCGTCGCAACTACAATGCACTGAAACTTCATCATGTTGCGATAGCTGGTTTGTGACCTCCGCGCCCACGAAAGCGGCTGCCTCCTCTCCCCCTCGGACGAAAGCCCTGCACACTCAACATGAGTATTCTAACTTCGTATGCGCACACAAAAGTCACCCGCGTCGTCGACGAGCTTGTCTGAGGACCTTCCTCGCCCTTTGAATCGCCAGCTTCTTGCGCACTACAGCTGACAACATTCCCGTTGCTCTCACCAGGCAAATATTTTGGCTCCTGATTCTGAAGCTTTCCATCCGCAGGAACATCAGAAAAAGGTGCAGAGTCTCTGTTGATCTTGCGGTTCTTCTTGTTGTCGACTCCTTTAAGAGGCTTTTGCGAACCATCTACTGATGGATTGGATTGGGCATTCTGCCCATCCTGTTGTAAATCCTCCTGGGCCTGCTCTTTAGGTTGTGACCTTTGCTGTCGAAGTTTGGGAGGAACATAGTGTTCGATCGATCTTTCCTTATTCCTGGGATGCTTTGCCGCTTCCTCCAATTCTGAATTTTCTTTGCCCATTGCACTTGAGTTCGAGTTGTTCGACTCTGCTGACTGCAAAGCATGTTTGCTCTTGGTTGAGCTTTGGTCCTGTTCAGAATGCGGTGTCTTGATCTTGTCACGACCAAATTTCTTCCTGTTGTCACCTCCATGGACAGCTTTGGTTTCTTCAGGTTGTCCTGCAACATCCTTTGCCAAGGACTCATCAGCTACCAAAACTTTTTCTGAACGATCTTGCTCCACATTCACGCCTTTACCGTATTTGTTCCTTGGTGTAGATGCCCTTGCACGCCCTGGAGGAACATTTGCACCCTCCTGTTCAGATTGCACTACTGCGTTTCCTTTGGAAGGAGCAACTTGCTTTTCTCGATTTACTTGTGCAGGTTGACCAGAGTTGTGTTGCTTCTTGACCTGATCTCCTTGAGGCTGGCCTTCAGCTGAGTTTGGGCTTTTTACAGCTGTTGCGTGCTGTTTTATCTTCATTGTTTGTTGTTTCATATTTTCGTCGTCAGCATCTGACTTCTTGTTGTCTCTGGCCCCATTGCCCTTATCCACTGATTGCTGTGCTGGCTGTGTTTGAAATTGCGACTCTTTTACAACAGGCTGCTGTTGTCGTTGGATTGCACTGTTCGGCCTCTGCTTTTGCTGTTTTGGATTATTTGCTTTTGGAAAATGCTGCTGGGATTGGATTTTCTGTGCCTGTCCCTTAGATTGTACTTCCTTCGCAGGCTCGCACTGCAGGTCTGTGCCTGGCACGATCTCATGGATCACTCCACTCCTATGACCCTTGTCCTGCTTGCTCTTGTTGAGTTGTAAAGAATTTGAATGATTGAGTTGAGAGTCATTGTTCGAGTCGATGACGCTTTCAACCGACTGTATGACAATATTCCTTTTTGCCTCCGTCTTTAACACTTTGCCACTCTTGCTGTATTTCACCGTTTGACTTCCATCTTTTTCGTGTGAATTGAGATCTTTCGGTGGATTTACACCTGATGTGACTTCACCATGCGACTGCTCGGGTAGCTTTGGAAGGGTCTCCACTGCCGTCTCTGACGCAGAAATTAATACCGTATTGCGTTGGCGCATCTGCTTTGGTTGATAACGCTGAATCGCTTCATTGTGATGGTTTTGACTCCGCTTCATATTATCATCATGTTTCCTACTTCCTGAGACGGTCAGAATTTCATCTTTCGTTTCATCCACAGATCTCGGTAGAATTTCAATTTTCTTCTCTCCAGGATTGTTGCCATGCACATCTGAAACTTTATCAATTGCATGTACTCGACGACAACGAGTTGACGGTGTACCTTGTTTCGAGATATCTTGATCCCGAGTCAGTACAGAAATTGTGTTCAAGGATTGGTTGATAGGATCTGAATTCGGTCTTGAAATTTGTTTCGCCTCTCGATCAGAATCCACCTGCAAGTGAACCGTCACAACTGTTTGATTGACGCGGCACAGGTCAAAATATCAAAATATGACATACCTTGATTGAGTTTGTCGGATTCGTTGAGACAGGAGGTCCGATCGAGGTCGAACTCTCTTCTACATTGAAAGTTAAAAAGTAATGAAGAAGATTTTCAAAGACCTGTGTGCTCCACACGTGTTGTAGTATTGACCTCTTTGATCAGATGCTTGGACGCAGATAAATTATTTGTGCAACTTGCTTTTTGATCACTATGCAGCACAGCATGCCGTTCGCTTTCAATCTCTGGATTAGCAAGATCCTTATTCGGCCTTCTCATAATGGCGATTGGAGGCTTTGAAGGACTCAAAGTTGGAGATTTCTCTAGGGGTTCATTTTGTCGTTCCCTGCCTAATTTCGCCCAGGTTGGATCCTCGGGATCATGCTGTGACTTTGTGATCCGATCCTGAACATTTTTGTCGTGGCGTGATGCTGGAGTATTCCTGGAGTCTGTCAGCTCCCCTGAAGATCTCGGATTCGCATCTTCAACTCTTCCTTCAGTGGTGTTAATTCGACCTTGGTCAATCAACACATTTGAAGTTCCATCCTGAGTCAAAATTTGTCTTTCCAATGCTTCAGTACTTCCTGCTCTGTCCCTTCGGAGCGTATCTTGTTCTGGATTTCGAGGCATTTCTCCATCCAATCGTTTGGTCGTTTCAATCGGCCCCCGGGCACCTTGCCCTGGTTGGTACAGTGATCTATTGTCAGGCGTTCTCCCGACAAAACCAGATCTTGATGAGGATCCTTCAGTTCCCATCCTATCTCGGGAAACATCCATGGAACTTCTCTCTGTGTCCACTTGATCACGTTTGTAGGCACCATCGTCACGGAAGTTCCTCTCGAAAGCTTCCCCTGCGTGCCTGCCTCCATCAAAGGATCTACCTCCATCGAAAGGATCAGAACGAAAACCTTGCCTTCCTTGTTTCCATTGATCATGTGATGAATTCCAAGCAGGTCCTCTTTCGCGATCGTACATAATTCTCTCTCGTTCGTGCATGACCCTGTCTCGATCATAATAACCTCGTTCCCGCTCCTGAGATCCACGGAATCTATCAAAAGCTGCTGAACGATCATCTAATCCCCTTCGCTCAAAACCTTTCTGATAACCATGTCTTTCGAAGTCTCTTTCAAATTGTTCTCGCCGATCAGTGAATCTTTCGTAATGTTCTCTACGGTTACCGAATCCACGATCGTTTACACCATTCCTTTCGCCCCTAAACATGCTGTCTGTAGGGTCCATTTCACGTTCTCTAGTTCTATCGCCATCAGGATGGACTGCAAAAGGTACCCTTGCACCTGAGAATCGAGACCCATTCGACGAAAAATCAGACACGGGTTGACTTGAGGAAGTCTGGACAGGTTTCTTGACTTCAACATCGTCATCATCGTCGTCGCATTCATCAGCCCAGGCGGACCCTGAGAACGAAGGAATTTCTTTCTTAATCTCAACAGGCGCTTTTGGAAGCCCCGCACCACCCCATGCAGGCTTTGCAACCTTTGGAGATGTAGGTGCTGCTTTGGGGGAAGTAGGATTCTCCTGATCATGTTGTAAGGAGGAACCTTTCACAAAAACAAAAACAAAAGGGAACAAACCTTGGCAAGCTCATCCTCGAGAGATAATTGAGGTGGTTGTTGGATATTCTCTACATTCCAGGCAGGTTTACTCTTATCCTTGGGGGGTGCATGTGGAGATGAATGGGGAGGGTTACTTTGTTGAGGAGCGTTTGATTGTACACCCCATGTACCACCTTTGTTTTTCTTCCAGGGAAGGTGGGCTGTAGGGTCGACATAGTCTACTAGCTCTCCTCTTGCCTTCTTTTCCTCATGCTGAATCTCTGCTGCTCCCTTCTTGACCTGGTTTGGTAATTTCAAACCAAAGGCAAGCATTGCCGAGAAAGCCGCTGCCTGCTCAAGCAAAACTAGGATGTCAGTCGAGTTTTCATTGCGCCGTGAAGGTTTCTCTTCAACACGTGTCATGGAACCAATTACATGAATGAGATTTGAGGGGCTTCAACAATCAGTATGCAAATTAGAGAAACCAACAAACACTCGCAGAGCACAACTACACTTTCGCACTGACATAGAGCTTTTACAAAGAACAGTTTGTAGAGGGAAACCAAGTTGAGGGATTCGCTTTGATCAAGCTTGAGTACTTCATGGCAACATTCGACTGAAAGCATGAAAGAGAACGAAATGACAAGGTTGTTGTTAGACCCACGTTTCCGTCAGTTTGAAACTTTCGAGAGCGAAGAGAGGAGAAAGAGAGAGATTTGAGGATATCGTGTTACAGCATGCTGACTTGAATACAACTGTTCTTTAGCACTTGACGCAGGAGGCAAGAGCAGGGCAAGCAATCAGAAACAGAGCGAGCACGACATGGATATGGAAAGAAGGGCGGGAGAGAGAGGACTGCGCGGGAGGAAGTTTGGCAAACCACCCTACCCCATCCCTGCACAAAAATCAAAGTACCGGTCCTCAATAGACCCTACCCACATTCAAATTTTCACCCACCTCACTTTACAAGCTTAAATTGGCATCACCCCCTTTCGTTATATATTTTCACCCACCCCCAGACCATCCTTTATTCCTTTTCCTCATTTAACCCCTAACATTTAATGGTCCGCTTGATGAGGACCCTTGCTGTCAAACAATGACCCTACCCCTACCCCTACCACTGGCTCCTCTCTGAGATCCACAAACTTACCACCCGTGTCCTTCATGACCCCTTCATATCCCACCCCCATCACTTCTTTTGTGGACCCCTCACATAGCTACCCCTACCCCCAATCCACAATATCCGATTTGCATGTCGGCTGGACCCTCATGACCTACCCTCTCATAATACTATTTTGGCTCAGTAAAGCACCCCCATATTTGGATGATCACTGGACCCCACCCATCAAATTTATCCCTCTCGGACGCATCACCCCCAGTCATTCATCCACCCACATGTATCCTTCTAGAAGCAGGCACACCTCCCCCACCCCTTTGCTTTGGAAAACACCCCTGGACACACAATGACCGGTGATGAAACTAGGTACCAACTCAAAGATCACCCCCACCCATTGCCTTGGGTTCAATTGCATGTGAGCCTTTATGTACAGGCGCTCATGAACAGGTCATGCACTTTGTACCTTACCCACTGTAGTTTTCTAAGTAGCCTCCTAAGTTCTGAGAGGCTACCCCATACCATCTGGTTCTCTCCTCCCGGACCAATGTGCTTTTTGTTTGCACGTGACTCTTTCACCATGGGGTCACCATGGGCTATGTCTGGAACATAGGGGTGATCAAGTATCTAGGGTGGGGTGGGAGGGGAGGGGTACAGCCAATGACTCACTGTTGAATTGCGACGCTTTGTGCCGAGGGTCACATACAGTTCAGAGATGGGGTGGGGTGAAATAAGCTATTCAAGGAGAGGGGTGGGGTGGTGCTTCTCATTGAGTACCGGTGCTTGTCATAGGAACAATGGAGGGTGGATGATGACGCGACGGTGATGTAGGGGCAACGGAAACCGAAGCACTAGAGGGGGTCCATGGGATGGCACATTAGAAGCAGGGTAGGGTGGGAAGCCTGCGAGGTCATTTGGAGCGTTGAATGCAGGGTAAGAGGATATGCAATTTTTACTAGTTCCTCACTTAGATCAACTTGATACTATACTGTACCCCAGCCATGATGCCTGCCTGAAGGCCCACATAAAGTACCCCCTTCATTTCCCACCAAATGAGAGGTGGTCGAAAGCAGGCCTGCAACAAAGTGCAGAGGGGTTGGCCCGACCTGCCGCTCAACAGCCGGACCGGAGGCCCGATCCGATAGGCATGATCATCGCCGATCGCCGGGCCGTGGGCCGGGCCCGGCTCTTGCACGGTCAGTGACCGTGAACCGCCGCCTTGGTTCCAAGGCCGGGCTGTTGAGTAATTTTGAGGTACTGGTACTGGACCGACCAACGGAAATCGAGTGATCCTACTAGGCTGGCACCAGACGAATTTCGGGCGACTCAGCGCCATGATGAGGAGAGACGCCGCTGAGGCTCAGCTCAGCTACTGGCAGACTCAGCTAGTGACCGAGTGAGATCCGGGAGAAGACTAGACGAGGGCCGCTCAGCCGATTGTCTTGCTTGAAGATGAAGTTGAAGAATAGATGAGAGAACCTGAGCCTGAAGCCTGATGATCTTTCTGCTAAAGAATCAGCTGGGCGGCTTCACTGCCGGAGGGTGTTGAGAAAGGAAAGAGCGCTGATTCAGGAACTAGTGCAGTCCTCGATGGAGGAAAGAGAGCAGGAAGAGGTAGCAATGCGAGGGAGAGCAAAGGAGATGTGTTGAGACAGGAGTAGACTTGCCCAACTTACAAGCCACGGCGACGCTCTGACTCTCAGACTTGTTTCCAGTGGCCTGACGTCCTTACGTTCTGCTTCCTGTGAGAGGCGTCTGAGATGGAAGAGTGGGAAAAGTATGGGCTGGACAAGCGAGTGGATTATGACAACCTAGGGCGCGTCTTCGAGAGGATGGATCTCAAGGTGAGATCTCTGTTGGGCTTCACCTGGCTTCTGAGCATGTCGCAGAAAGACGGCAAGATCGACGTCCAAGAGCTGACTCAGGCGTACAAGGTAAACCTCCCTAGTGCTCTCCTCGTCCTGTTGCTGCTTCAACTCACCTCTTCGACGGCAGAATCTCGGGTACCAGCCGCGGAAGAGGACGGAGTACGGGCTGTCAGAGGTGGAAGACATCATCTGGGAAGTGGACGAGGACGCTAACGGGTGGATCGACTGGGACAACTTCGTCCAGCTCTACGTGCGATGCCGAAAGGACAGGACGGGCCAAGAGCCGACACGACTTTACAACCTGATAGAGTTCATGGTGTGCGACAAGGATGGCGGAGGGACGATGAGCGAAGACGAGTGCATGGAAATCCTTTACCATCGCTATGGCAAGGAGGTGCGACCGAGGAGCTGGAGGGTAGGGCTGACCTGAGCGAGCAGGTGATGGGGAAGCTGACAGATCAGTTGTTTGGTAAGAGCGTACAGGAGACAGAGAAAGAATTCTCCTTCGCTGAGTTCCTGGACCTGGTAGATCCTTACAACGGCATCTTGACGCACAGCAAGAGGCAAACATAACCAGAGCTTCAACATTTAATTGCGAACTTAACAGACATGAACGTTTGAGATGTTTCACTTCAATCCTATGTGTACAATCGCCTCTTCATCGCCGCGGGCCCTGGGGTGAGCTCGCGTCTGTTCCTCCTCCATGAGTTCCTACCATCTCTGCCAACTTGTGTAGCGGCTGCGTCTCGATCAGCCCCGGGTCGAGTCCAGCAGAGCGTTTTCTCACCTCGGGTCCCATGCATCGAGCTCGGATGTGCTTTATCCAGCTTGTTCGAGACGCGGCATCCTGGCAACAGGTCAGCCAGCAGGAGCTGCAGCTGAAGGCTACCTTGGCGCAGATGCGAAGTGACCGTATCACGTCCTGCCCACTCCCCTGCACCTTTGGGATCAATCACCAGATGGAGTTGAGAGTAGAGATGGAGCACAAGGAAGAGGGGAGGGAGAGGGGGAGGGATGAACGGGAGCGGGGAGGAGAAGATCTGTCACCGAGCCCTGTCCTCTCACAGAGATCTCGAAGTTGAAGGAGGTCGGGTCCCTGAAAAGGTTGTCAGTGAGGGAGGAGGAGGAGAAGTTCAGTGCCTGCGACTCGACTCGAAGGCGTTGATGAAAGTCTCTCGCTCCTCCAGAAGGAAGACCACATCGTCCTCCGACGCCTCCCCACCGACCACTGAAGGAGCTGGACCTGTGCAGCAAGTGAGGGAGGGGCAGGTCAAGGAGGACTGGGGCACCTGCGGGGCTCTGAAAGACCAGCATCTTCAAGGAGAGGCTGCAAGAAAGTCTCAGGCTCCCTCCCCCTCCTCCTCGCAAGCTCTTGCTACTCACCCGTCCAGCTCGCACCACTTCAACTGCCAGCCGCTCTCATGGCTCCTCTCCGATCGCGTGAGGCTCCGCTCTCCCTGCACACTCGTGCCTGCCTGCTGCCGCCTGTCCTCCTGCACAAACAAGAACCCACACATCTGGATCGTCTCCAAGTTCGCGATCTGCCAGGCACGTGACTTGACTTCACCCCGTCAGCGACCCTCCACCTCGTGTGCCTCCGCCTCCAGCCTCGCCCTCATGTACGTCTCCACGAGGTCGCCCGCTCTCGCCTTCCTCGCGCCCTTGCCTCTGCTCAGGTGACCTCACTCGCTCGCATGCATGGCACACAACTGTACCTCGTCCGGAGGCCAAACGCGGCCTCCCAGTACGGCATCCTCTTGGCGACAAGCAGGTTGAACATGCGAGTCCGGCAGAGAACCTCTAGGATCTCCGGCTCCTCCGACGCGCCGACAAGGCCTGCTGTGTCGACATGGACGACATTCGTACCGCTGGGAGGGAGAAGCTTCTTCTGTCTGATCTCCATCACCGCATCGTCGTCAACAGCGTTCTGAACGAAGAGAGGAAAGCGGAAGACCAAACTGACTGGAATCACAAGTCACAAGAGCGCAAGGGAAGAGAGGTCAGGTGCATGCATTGTTCGCCTCACCGAGGTCAAACAGGAGGTTGTTTCTCAGAACATCTACACAAGTTTGCAGCGGAGAGACGTGGTTCTCATTCAAAGACTTCCACGTCCCAGGTGCCTGTCAACCAGGTCAACCCAGTCATGCTGACGTCACCTGTTCCCTCACCGTGATTGCCTCAGCCCAGATCTCGTCGTTGGTCGTCTTGGCTGGATCACACGCGGCGTGTCCTTGGAGCACGTGGAGGACTCGCTCTTCGAAGGCGAGGAGACGCTCGTCCATGGCCCGGGCGAGAGCGACTCCTGCGCTGCTGCGCTCGAGAGCACTGAGGGCCGGGGGGATGGAGAGAGTCTTGTGCGTTGTGTCCAGCACCGACACGTTGGAAGGGACTCTTCCTCGCGGAAGGGCAGGTCTGGTGACCCCGAGGAGGAAGGGGAAGGGGGAGTCAAGCTCGGTCAAGAAGTTGATAGGGAGGATAGGAATCATAGTGAAGGGCCACTCAAACGGGAAGAGCAGCAGCTTCAAGGCCTCGAGGATCGGGAACAGCACGCTGGCATCGTCTGCCACAACCAGCAATTGTGGCTCGCCGAGGAGGAGGAGGAGGAGGACCCGGCGAATGGTGACGAGGTCCAGGCAGCGGAAGAGGACGGCAAAGTCGATGTCTGCCAGCGGGAGCTCCTTGGCGGAGGGGCGCTGGACGTGGACGATCTGACTGTACATCTGAACATGCAGCGGCTGTCCGGGGAGGGGCACAGGCATGGCGAGGATGGAGATCAGCTCCTTGACGTGCGACGTGTCCCAGGGCACCGAGGCAGGCAAGTTCGAGGCGTAAGCAGTGAGAGCGAAGAGGATGGAGGCATGAAATTGAGTGCGAGAGGCGACGAAGATAGCCTCGGGAATCCACATCCCCTCCTTCATCTCCTCCCGGTACCGCGAGTAACAGTGCAGGTAGACCCCGTTGTCCGTCCCCTCCGGCAGGAAGGTCGTGTACGTCTCGCAGCCCCGATCTGAGCGCCAGATGAGAGCACCGCACGGCAGCACGAGGGTAGGAAGCGGCTCCTTGGGAAGCGAAAACGCTCCTACCGTCTCCAGGCACCTCAGCTGGGGCCGGAAGGGGCCATCAAGAAACTGCGAGTCCTTGCGGAGGGCGTGCTCGAGCCCAGCAGCGACGGGAGGGGAGAGGAGAGGCTCTAGAGGGCGCTTGTGGAGGCTGACGACCCCCACAGCGTCGATGAGGTTTTGCACCTCCTGCGCAAACCTGGCAGGGTCATCCTTGGAGGAGGAGCTGGCGTCAAGCACGCTCCAGGTGAGCTTCTCCTGGGACTGAGCTGGACCCCTGCGGTCGTCTCGTCTCAGCAGGTCGTGCTTGTCTGCTCTACGGACTGCGGTGACGGAGAGATCAGCGCTGGAGGAGAACCTCTGAGATCCACTCGCTCGGTTGGCGATGGAGGCTGAGCTGCTGGGGTCGACATGTGGCAAGCCGCTGACAGGTGCGTCCTCCTTGAAGAGGTAGTCGACCGGGAGGTCAGCGGGAGGATGGGACATCGGCAGCTTCTCCTTGGAGGGCTCAGCGGAGTTGAGCGAGGCAGACTGGATGGGAGAGACTCGCTGAAGGTGAGCCTCGAGCATGTGGAACTTCTCGGCAAGCGCAGGAGCGTCTGCAGCCTTGGGTGACTTGCCAGGGGTTCGCTTGATCCCCCGCTTCGCGTTCGCTGCTGTCCCTGCTAGTCGCAACGCCTTGCTCGCCGCCACTGTCGCCTGGTTGGGCTTGTCTGCAGCTTCAGCGGGAGCCGGAGCTCTGTTCTTGCTGGGAGGCTCTACCGAGGACGACCGGCCCTCATGTTGCCGCTCCCAGGCAGCTCGTTGGCGAGCGATGTGTCTGACGGCAGCGTTCTCGCTCATAAGCTCTCGTTTCCGGGGCTTTCGATCCCCGTCGCTGACCTCAGCGTCTTCTAACCGAGCCCTCCCGGCGCTCAACGAGCGAGCTCGCTCAGACCGTCTGTCGGCCTGCTGCTCCACCGTGACCGAAGAGCCTCCATCGCTGTGCCTGGAAGTAGCAGGACGAGACTTGGGCCTCGGGGTGCTCACCAGGGCTCTGTTGTACTCCTTGATGCGCTCGCGTTGACTCTCACGGATCTGATGGACTTGAGAGAGCGAGAGCGAGAGCGAGGTAGACGCCTCCTGCTCCACCGGCTTGTCATCAGAGCCATCCAACGAGTGCGAGAAGCTCCGCAGACGTTCTGCGTAGCTGCTGCTGTCAGCCGCTGAGGGGAACTTGACGTCCGGGTCGTTCATGACCTTCTCCTCCCACTCTTTCCTCCATCTCTCCATGACAACGTCGGGGTCAACATACCTGGGCACCTTCTGGGAGGAGGACGCCTTGAACCCGCTGGGAGGGTTCCTCCAGGGACGTGGCTGAGGTCGCTGAGTGGTCTTGGAGTACACCTCCGTCTGAAGAGAGAGTTTCTTCGTGTCCTGCGACTTGAGAGAAGCTGCCTGCTTCGCGCTCGCAGCCTGCACGCTTTGCTGCTTCAGCTGCTCGATCCTCGTTCGCTTCTCTTCGTCTTTTATCCGAGCACTCTTGGTCATGCGCATCACGCTCGAAGAGAAGGAGTCAGCTTTGACGAGCCTCCGAGGGTTCGGGGCTGCTTCCTGCTTGGGCAGCCTGTCGTTTGACTTGTTCTTGTTCACGTACTGGGTCAAGGCGTCTTTCCAGGCCCTCTTGAGCTTGTCGTCGATCACAGAGTTGGTCGAGCTCTTCTGTTCGAGGCTGCAGCTCGCGTCAAAGAGGCTTCCTATGAGATCACGTTGGAGGTCGTCGAAGTAGGCGATCTCCTGGGGCACCTTCCCTCCCACCTCCGTCCCTCTGATCTCAGGATGTGCTCCGTCGACAAGCTCAAGGGTTGCCGTGACGTACTCCTTGCTGTGCTGGCTCTCCTCGACGTCACTGCAAGAAAATCAGAACAGCAGCGTGGAAGTATCCAACAACACCTTGTGGCACTAGCGAGAAGCACGTCATACTGATCCAGATGTAGATTTCTTGAAAGATCGAGCGACTCGGCATCTTCATGTTCCATGGGCGACGGATGATTCGCGTCGAGTTCGAACGACTCCTTATCGCTCTCCCTCTTTGACAGCGAGGCAACTAACGACTCTTCATCCTCCGTCTTGCTGTTGCCTTCCAGCTCCTTGTGCTTGCCATCATCATTCCACTCCATGTCGACGCTTGTCTCCTTGTCTTCTTCGTCATGCATATCCGCGAGCTGAGGACGTTGACTGCTGGGCGCTTCGCTCTCGCCCATGGCGTCTTGCTCGTCAGATCCCGAGGCTTCTCCTTGATTGGGAGGCTCGGATGCTGGCCCCGCCTCAGCATCCATCGCTTCAGTCATAGGCTCAGCCCCCTCGTCCTCGAACACGTCCTCGTAAACGATCTGAATGTGCGTTGAGGGGAGATGCCCGCTCCTGTCCCCGATCCGCCCGATGTACCAGCCCTGGTCAGTGTCATGATCCCACGAGACTCGATGCGTCAGCTTGATCTTGTCTCCCTTCCGAAGCGTCAGCTCGTCGCTCTCAGTGGCGTCATAGTTGAACTTGGCGATGGCTGTGAAGTCAACAGGCACAAACTCTTCTTGCGCATCCTCTTCCCCCGTCGCTGCTGGCTGCTTGAGCGACTGCTCGACGTCTTGCCCAGCATCGCTGGAGCTGACAAGAGAATCATCTCTATGCTCGTCAAAACTTTCCACGGGTGCTGTGGCATCCTCTTCTTGTGAGGGGCGTTCAGGTTCAGGGAAGTGAACCCATTGGTTATCGTTGGCATGCGTCTCCAGCGCCTCGGTCTTGCTCTCGGCATCCTCATCGTCAGCAGTAGATGTCTCGGTTGCCTGCTGGTGATCGGCAGATGCTGCGCCAGCTGAGGGCTCTTCTTGGGCGTTGGGAGAAGGGAACATGGTGTAGACATGCTCAATGAGCTCCTTGAGGACGACAGCTGCTTGAGTTGCCCGCTCGTTGCGATCGCCGTTCGACAGCACTTGTTGCTTGTCTTGCGCCATGAAGCGTGCGAAGTGCTCGGAAGCGTCATGTAAGGTGAAGTGATTATGATCCGAGTGTTGCACGACAAGGTTGAGCAATCCAAGGAGATTGAGGAAGACGGGCGAGAGCGTGTTCGTCTGGATCGCTTCTAGGAGGATGCTCTGAACTCGAGCATGCGATTTCTTCACCCCCTGGATACACATGGCTTCGTATAAGGGATCCAACAACTTGACAGGAAAGATCGGAGAGCTACTGTGCATGAAGCACTCTTCGAGTATGGTCGTCGCCAAAGCTGCATTGTTCATTGAGATGAAATCGACTTGTTTTCCTGCCAGGATTGCCTGCATCACAGAAACCTTGAGTTGCTCGCTACATTTCTCCTTGAAAAGACCAGGAGAGTTGAGACCCTCATTGGCGAGGAAATCCATCGAATCGTTGATTGCTCTCTCAAGATTCTCGTCTCTTTGATTGTTCGCCTCCTCCTTCCTCGCTGCATCTTTCTTCAGCTTCTCCTCTGCAAGTACAGCAGTTTCATGCGTTGTCTGACTGCTGTTCTGAGCCTTATGCATCTTGTCAGAGGTGTAGGACTGGTTCGTACTCGATTTCTCTTCCATATCTCGCTGTCGTTCAGCCCGAGCAAGATCTAGCGCAGGGACTGTTTGCTTCTGCACACTTGCAATCTGCTGAGGAGGTTGAGAAGAAGCTTTTTGCACCTCCTGATTGTTCTGCGGTGCAACATCACTTGAAGCCGCCTTGTCTTTAGAACCCTTGTTCTTGGATCTTGACATCCCAAAACTTGCTACTTTCAAGAGCTTCTTCATGTCGACTGCTCAAACTGCTGAGAAACCTTGGAGAACTCACTTCTAAGAAAACATGGGAACAGTGTGATGAAACGGATGTCAGATCTGCCCGATGTTTGGAGAGTTTTTCTTGATGTTCATGAAATGACCTGCTTGTTTGATGTCAAAGTGAGCCTCTAATTGAGGGCAAATAGGCTCAACAGACTGAGTCTTGTTGGCATTCAACGCCATATAAAACCAATGCTCTGATTGCCTTGTTCCTTTCTAAATGACCTCTCCTCCATGTCAGACGTGCACACATCTTCATCGTCTACTCTGCCGGCTTCCAATCGCTTTTCTCAAGCCCATCTGACATGGCAAAGCCATGCTTGTCTTCTAATTATATCTTATGCCCTATTACTCTAATCGTCTGAAGCATCTTCTGTTTTAATCTTAATCATCCTTCCCAAATCAGCATCGCTTTCGCTTCTGTCCTCAACATCATCGTCGATTTGTTCACCTTGCCTTCGCACATCCTCCTGCCTTCCTTGCTCCCACTAAAAGTCTTGAGAAGCCAATGATTCTATATACATCAACACTGTGATCTTAAGGATGCTGCCTTTTTCTTCCTCTCACAATGTCGTCAAATTCACCAGCATCTACCAACCTGTCTCTCTCTCTCCCTCGCTCCCTCGCTCCCTCGCTCCCTCCCCCCCCCTGCCTGGCTGCCTGGCTGCCTCTGTCTCTCTCTCTTCCCTCCTCCCCTCCCTCCCTCCCTCCCTCCCTCCCTCCCTCTCCCCCCCCCCCACCCCTGCCTGCCTGCCTGCCAGTCTCTGTCTCTGTCTCTGTGCCTGCCTGCCTGCCAGTCTCTGTCTCTGTCTCTGTCTCTGTCTCTGTCTCTGTCTCTGTCTCTGTCTCTGTCTCTCCCTCCCTCCCTTCCTCCTTCAACCTTCTCCACGCACAGGCATCCCGGCCATGCAAACTCAAATTGAAATTTGAGAGCAGGCTTTGATTTTTTGCTTTAAAACATGAAATAACCAGAGGTGATTTCAAAATTTATTTGAGGTTCCGATCGCACACAAACAGACTGTAACGGGTACGAGTCAAGTTTGCTGACTCCGCACAAACTCGCTGAGGCTGGCCCGGGAGCACTACTGCAGTCACGGTCACGGCCCCGGCCCGCCGTTTGACCACCGGGCACCGTACCGAACGGTGGCCGGGCACTGCGGAGTGCGCCGCCGGCACCGAGTCAGTGACTGTCAGTTAAGTTTGGGGGACAGCAGTTGGCCGGATTGGGCCCGTTTGGTTCTCGCTGTCTTTTCTCTTCTGATCGCCGTTTGGCCTGTGCGACAGTGTCAGGGTCAAGCCTCCTCGACTCTCCTGATTGTCCTCGTACTGATCTTTAACTTAACTTTGAGTAAAGATGACTGTCACACCGTGACGCCGCCCGCTACTAGGCTATGATCATCATCGGAGTGACCCGGCCCCCGCGCCACTGAGTCAGACTGAGTCTGATTTCAGTGAGGGTCATCATCATGGCATCGGACTCGGAACTCCCAGTCCCGACGGACCGTCGCCGTGACGGCTCCGGACCGTCCGACCCCGGCCCGCCGGGCATCATAGGCTCATCCGGCGGCGGCGGCGGCGGCGGCGGCGGCGGCGGCGGCGGCGGCGGCGGCGGCGCGGCGGGCCTGCTGCCGCGCCGGGCGGCCCGCCCTGGCTTCTCCCGGGCCGGGACTCCAGACACCGTGGCACTCGGCGGCCCCGGCCAGTGCTGCCGCAGTCGGAGGGCCCCGGCGCGGCCTGCCAGGCTGGCCGCCGGGCACCCGGTGGCCGCAGCCCTGACTCGCCATGATCCGCCGTGACTGTTCCGGGTACGGGGTCACCCGTCGCTCAACTTTTAGTTGGGCCGGGTCACGCCGGGCCGTGACGGCCGACTCCCGCACGCCGTCAGCCGGGCGTGCCACGGTGACGCGGGCCCCGGCGGCCGGCGGCCGGGTCTGCCGGACTCCCGTGACCGGACCGTTCGGCGGGCCGGGCCGCCGTACTATGGAAGTATGAGCGATACATCTGGGAGTTTTAAAGGGCTTATCATGGCGGAAAGAAGCGTCTTGGGGATCGTGCTGCTTCTGTCCTCGGTTGACTCCTTCGTTCTGCGAGCCCCCCTCCTGTCTCCTCTCTCTCCTCTGTGGCTGCTCAAGAGCCTTCCCTCCCGACCCTTGCAGGCCCTCTCCTGCACTGCTCGGGACAAAGCGACCCTTCAATGGTCTCGTCGTGCTTTTGTCGGTATCTGCGTAGCCGCGTCGCTGCCCGTCCGTGCAGCGACAGCGGAGGTCAAGTGGGACAAGCCGCAAGATGAAGACATAGAGATAGTGCAGCGAGGCATCAGAGCGTTCGATGGGAAGAGACTGCCTGAAGCCGAGAGTTTGTTCTCCTCAGCGATCGAGCGCTGGCAACGCATGAAGCGTCCTCGTGATGAGTTGGCAGAGCTCTTCAAGGTGTCTCACACTCACTCCCGCTCAATGTTCATGATGCTGTTTCCAGTTTCGAGCAAATGCTCGGGTGGATCTGAAACGGTTCTCAGAGGCCAAGCAGGTGAACTAGAAAAATCTTGTGTACCTGCTCAAGGCCGCCGATGCAGGATTACGACACAGTCCTAGCGATCATGGAGGAAGGGCAAAAGGAATGTTGAACTGAAGCTAAAGAGAGATATGCTCATGGTGGCTACAGGAGAAGAATGGAAAGGCTATATACATGGAGTACCCAGACACCTTCGTTCAGGTGAGGCATGCAAGATGAGGCATGTGCATTGAGACAAGGAGACAGCGAGGATTGTGTAGTGAAGGGTTGGGCAACTGGGAAGATGCAATCCAAGGTCGTGTTGTGTGATGCGAATCTCCTTGTCTCATCTCACCTCAGATTACTCTCGCGCCATCCAACTGTGGGGAGGAGGTCGAGAGCAAGGTCGAGTGGAGGACCTCTTTCCTGCATGATCCTTCACAGGCGTTAATCCTTACGTCCTCACCTTTCGCGCGAACGCTCTTGCCAAGCTGGGGAAATATAGTGAGAGCTGAACCTGAGCTCGGTGGGGTCTAAACATTGCAAGATGAGGCACTGGTGGACTACGAAGCTTCCGACCGATTGTTTGTCGCGGTAGTTCGATGACATCTCTCGCCGTCCTCCTTCCTCATACTGACCGCCTGGCATTCGCAGCTCAGAGATGAAGCTCGAGCACTGGACGTGAGAGCGAATTATGCGCTCGCTCTCTACCAGGCAGATGATTTGAGGTTGACCATGTTCACTGCTGACCCATTGCACCACCTACAGGTCGGACAGACGAAAGAAGCTACCAAGGTAAAAAAAAAGCGATTACGCTACCAACTAGTACTGATGCCTCTAACAGATGATGTCGGACATCATCCGGAGAAATCCCGGTAACACTGTTTGATGGAATGTGCTGTAAATGGTCATAAGTTGTCAGGTTACACGGACATGCACGTTGCTCTTGCCGCCATCGCATGGAGTGCGGGGGATCGCGAGACTGCTGAGTCGGAGGTGAAAGCAACCTAGAAGGGGAGGTTCTGATTTGAATCCAGTGGGAATTCGCATGCAACAAGATCCAGACAGGATGCAGTCTCTACAGGCAATCCCTTATCTCCAGGTAGACTTTTCTGTGACTAGTCTGCAGAGACCTTGATTGGCTGTCCACTGTGCGCCGATGGCCACCCGCCATGGTTGCCAACATGGCACTTTTCTTGGGAAAGAAGTGATATCAAGAAATAACCGAAATGTGTGCACCAATCAAGACAAACCACTGCATATGAATGATATCGAAATCATTTATTACTAGTACAGGAGTTGAAGATGTTGTACGACTTAGTCGACCTCCTCGATGTGAGGTCCGCCAGCGCCACCAGCACCAGAAGGAGGAGCACCACCACTCATGTCAGGCATGCCGCCGCCCATATCAGGCATTCCTCCACCCTGGTAGAGCTTGGTCATGATGGGCATGGCGACACCCTCCAGAGCCTTCTGCTTTGCCTCGAACTCTTCAACTTCAGCATTGGCATTGCTCTCCAACCAAGAGATGGTCTCGTCAATTTTGCTGGTGAGCGAAGACTTGTCTGATTCGTCGAGCTTGCCAGCAACCTTCTCGTCGTTGAGCGTGTTCTTGAGAGAATAAGCGTAGTTCTCAAGAGAGTTCTTAGCGTCAACCTTCTTGCGCTGCCTCTCGTCCTCCTCCTTGAAGCGCTCAGCCTCCTTGACCATGCGCTCAATGTCATCCTGGCTGAGACGACCCTTGTCATTAGTGATGGTGATCTTGTTCTGCTTGCCGGTGGACTTGTCTTGGGCCGAAACGTTCATGATACCGTTGGCATCGAGATCGAACGACACCTCGATCTGTGGAACACCACGAGGGGCAGGGGGAATTCCATCCAACTGGAACTTGCCAAGAAGATTGTTGTCCTTAGTCATCTGACGCTCTCCTTCATAAACCTGGATGAGCACACCAGGCTGATTGTCCGCATACGTGGAGAAGACCTGGGACTTCTTGCAGGGAATGGTGGTGTTGCGCTCAATGAGCTTAGTCATCACACCTCCGGCAGTCTCGATACCGAGGGACAAGGGAGCAACATCAAGAAGAAGAAGATCCTGCGTCTTCTCAGAGTCGACTCCAGCCAAGATGGCAGCCTGAACAGCAGCTCCGTAGGCAACGGCCTCATCTGGATTGATGCTCTTGTTCAACTCCTTGCCATTGAAGAAGTCCTGAAGGAGAGACTGGACCTTGGGAATACGAGTTGAACCTCCGACAAGAACGATCTCGTGGACCTGGCCTTTAGAAATCTTGGAATCCCTCAAAACGCGATCGACAGGGTCGAGGGTTCCACGGAACAAGTCAGAACAAAGTTCCTCAAACTTGGCGCGAGTGATGTTGGTGTAGAAATCAATTCCCTCGAAGCAGGAATCAACCTCAATGGTAGTGTTGGCCGCTGATGACAGGGTTCGCTTGGCTCGCTCACAAGCCGTCCTGATACGACGAAGAGCACGAGCGTTCTCAGATGGATCCTTCTTGTGCTTCCTCTTGAATTCTTGGAGAACAAACTGAACCAAACGATTGTCGAAGTCCTCTCCTCCCAAGTGAGTGTCACCAGCAGTAGCCTTAACCTCGAAGATTCCATCGTCGATGGTCAAAAGAGAAACATCGAAAGTACCACCTCCAAGATCATAGATCAAGATGTTACGCTCTCCGCTACCCTTCTTCTCGAGACCGTAGGCAATGGCAGCAGCAGTAGGCTCGTTGATGATACGAAGAACGTTGAGACCAGCAATCAAGCCAGCATCTTTGGTGGCCTGACGCTGGGAGTCGTTGAAGTAGGCTGGAACGGTGATGACAGCGTGCTTGACCTCCTTACCCAAATAGGCCTCAGAGGTCTCCTTCATCTTGGTGAGAATCATAGAGGAGATTTCCTCAGGAGAGAAGGTCTTATTCTCTCCCTTGTATTCGGCCTGGATATGAGGCTTGCCATCCTTGGTGACAACCTTGAATGGAAAGTGCTTCAAGTCAGCCTGGAGGGAGGGATCATCCATCTTGCGACCGATGAGACGCTTGGCATCGAAAATGGTGTTGTGGGGATTCATCGCAGCCTGGTTCTTGGCAGCGTCTCCGATAAGGCGTTCTGACTCTGTGAAGGCAACCCACGATGGAGTAGTCCTGTTGCCCTGGTCGTTGGCGATGATCTCCACACGTTCATTTTGCCAAATTCCTACGCAGGAGTAGGTGGTTCCAAGGTCAATGCCAATGGCTGGGCCATCAATTTTCTGTTACAAGCAAGTCAGCAAGGCTCAACAGCAAGCAACGGCAATATTCGGAAAGTAAAGCATTACGAATGTATGCTAAAACAGAGAGGGAATACAAAACAGACGAGCAAAACAACTGTGCCTGCATAGAAGCAGACACAAGGAGCAGTAGGGTTTACATCCTTCTCTTATCAACGCGTGGCGTACCTTGTTGGACATGGCGCGTGCTGTGTCCGAAGCTCCTCACACTTCTTTTCCCGCCTTTCCCCCCAACCCACCCCACCCCCGCATCTAGGTCGCTTTTGACATGCCCCACCCCCCTCCATTGGATGGGCCCTTCATTTCGTTAAAAAAAAGTATGGATCCCTGCAAGACGGTGGTATGAAGAGCGTCCAATCCGGCATCTAAACCCTCCCAAAAAAAACTTTTCATCTGGGTACGCCAACTCTGTTCTTGAAGGAGTGGACGGTGATTAAAATGTTCCATCTGATTGTCAATATTTTGTCTGAATTAGAGGGTAGGGGTAGTTCGAGAGAAGGTCTAGATTATTTATTCCATTGCTGATTGGCACACGTGGCTCGGCTTAGACAGGCTTCTCCAAATCTCCCGAAATTTAGTCAAAATATGTAAAATTTCCGCTTCATTTTGAAACTTGCACTGTTTTGTGGAATCAATTTTGTTGTGATATAAAACCATTTTTTAAATCTAGTCTTCTCGAAGTTCTGCTGCTGTCGTATCCACCCACCCTACCTGAGAGCTGTGACTCCAGGGTGTCTACACCCCTCCACCCTCGTGTTTCCGACACGGGATGCGGACTGCCCAATCTGTATGACGGGGTCGGGGGTTCATTTTGACCCAACCCAATTTGTGCTCGAGGGGGGAGGGTAGTACCAAAGCAGTAGAGGTAGTAGTCTCCAGGACAAGGTGTAGTAGTAATATATATATATATGTACCAGGAGTAGTATCAGTAGTATCAGTAGCAGCAGTAGCATCAGTAGCAGCAGTAGCAGTAGTAGTAGCAGTAGTAGTAGCAGTAGTAGTAGCGAGGTCAACGTAACGTAGTACAGGCGACTCTGATAAATTTTGCTAAAAAGAATCTCGCCGGGGCCCGGTCGCCCGACCCGGCTCTGATGACTACTGAAGTTCTGCCGATCTCATCCGGATCAACAGATTTCCGTACTGAGTTTTAACTTAACTCAGTTTGAGTAAAGGATATTTCAATCGCAGCCTTCACTGCTTGTGAGAGAAGAGCTTGTCAAGCCGCGACCGTCAGGCTTGTTTGTAGTACGAGGACAATCAGTACTTCACTGAGACAGTGCGATCAGACAGGCAGAACGTCTGGAGTGACTTGCCCTGACGCTCGAGTGAGTCCAGGAAGGGAAAGTAACGGTTTCAAGCCGCCGCTGAGCCTTGCTCGGAAGTCCGGGGAGTGGTCCTCAGCGGCTCAGCGGCTAGTGCTGCCTGCCTGCCAAGCCTGTGAGCGCCCCCCGCTGAAGCTTAGTGAAGGGTGGCGACCGTTGCAGGGCCGACAAACTTCAAGGGTCCTCAAGCGAGTCAGGCCGCTCGGATTCACTCAGTGACTTGAGAACTGACTCTAACTGATTCCTGACTGTCAATGATGATGAACATTGATGTCGCTCATCAGTTTCGAGCCTCACCATCAGTTTTACAGGCGATGCTGGCATATCTCCCTATCTCTTACGGTCTCTGAATCTCTTAGTCTCCAAGAGCGGCGACTGTATTCGACAGCATGGTGCTTCTTCCATTTCGTCTACCGGCGGAGAGGGCTGTTGCTGTCGACATCATGCTTTGTATAACCTTTTTATTGCTGCATTCATGCTATGCCGCGACTCGGACAGTATGGCCTCTGGAAGCCGCTTGTTCTCAAAAAGCTTCCAAGTATTTCTTCATCTATCTCTTGGATGTACAGCTTCTTGCTGTGATGGCTTGGCTAATCTTGATTGCGACACATTCAGGTTCCTGACGGCTGCAGCTTCGACATTGACTTCTGCAGACCGATCTTGATATCCAATGTTGGAAGCACAAACGATACAGCAGGACAAGGAGTCGGGTGATGGAACTGCAGCACATGCAGTGCAACATTCGATCGCTCATTTCGCAGCAGTATTACATCGTGGGAGTGCTACATGCCGGTCAATGCTACGGTGGAAGTAGCGACAGCACGATGCCCAGGCGTGTTGACGAGGTTCTTAGATGCTCTGAATCGTGTTTACGATTGAGGAGAGTGCAGAGCAAAAATTGCAAACATTCGAGCACGACCGTGCTGGGGATCGTACATGGACGACATGCCGTGCAGCCTGGATCTAGCCATCCAGACTCTTTACGGACCAACAGTGGAGCTGGCAAGGTGACACGTGCAAGTTGCGAGGAGAAGAAGTCACCAACGTACTAGGGATGATGCAGCGTATTTCTCTGCAGGGATCAGGTTCTTTCTACCTCTCTGCTCACTTGATCCCCTTGCTCCTAGGCTGAATTCGCTTTTCTCCTACAGCATCGCTGCCAACCGCTATGGATCTCGAGGTTCCGAGCAATAGCTGCGATCCTTATCTGAGCTCTCATCAGGTGTCCAGCTGGACTATTGCAAGCTTCGACTGGGTAGGGCATGGCGAAGGAGCGTTAGAGCTAGTGAGCCTGACAACCTTCGTGTAGGAGGAGCGCCATATGCCTTCTCGTGCGGAGTCAACCAGACTACACAATCCTTCAGGTGCGCCTGGACCTCTCACCTACCAAACTTTCATCTTTGCTTGCAGCACGTTCTCCATCGTCTTGAACTCAGCTGAGGGAAGTAGGCCGGGGTTGCTTCTCTCAGGTTCTTGTGCTTGAAGTTGACCTCGGGCGCTAACTTTACTCTTCCAGCCCTCCTGATGCTTTTGTTGAAACTCATCCATGCATATTCAGAATGATGAATGCTGATCCAACCACGCACAGAGTATTATTCATGATGTTGCCGAGCTTGTGTGTAGGTGAATCGTTAACGTCTTTACATTCATCAACTTTGAAGAAACTTTCCTATCATCTCAACCCGACAAGTCTTGTCGAACGAACCTTTCCTCCTCATATGTACTCGCATTTACAATCTGCGAGAAAGTCAACTGTTTGCTTTCTCTGCAAGAGCACCGACCTTTCCTCCGAACCATCGCTTGTCGAGTCGCGCTACAGCCTTGGTGGCCGCTTCCTGATCCCCAAACTCTACAAACACTTTGACCAGACGAGATCCTTGCTCCACCATGGTGACGATGAGAACCTTGTTGACCTGCAAACGGTCAACATGGAAGGAAAGGTAGGAAGTGTCAGAGTGGGAGTGAGGGAGGACAAAGGCAAGAGGGTGGCTTGAGCTCACTTTTCCGAACTTGGAGCATTCTTCTGCAATCTCCTGCTCCAGCTGTTTGACGGTCACACACAGGAGGCGAAAGTTGTCACGCGTCACCAGCGGGTCGACGTCCTCGGGCTCCACCATGTTCTTCAGCAGGACAACCTTGTGCCACATCACAGGCAGACCTGAAGAAGAGATCGCTCACCCGAGAAGGTCGATTTGCTAGCTTGCACATGATCTCTTTGCGCTGAAAAGAGTTGTCATCCACGCTGTCACAGCATCGCCAACATCTTGATGCGCAACAGATTTCTCAAAGCGCAAGGTACCTGCAGGACGCTTGATACACTCAAGTTCTCTTCGTCCTCTACTGTTGTGATGTCGTTTGACGAGCTTGTCACAAGGCTTGTTGTGACCTGCGCAGCAGGTTGTCAGCTCACCGTCACTAGCCCGCAGCCTCACCTTATCTGCGATGGCATTCGCTGCTGCTACAATGATCGGGTTGCTGGTCTTATCCTCCTGCCGCAACATCAGCCACAATCACTTTCTCCCATCCCCCGCACCGATGAAGTTTGTGCCGAGTCGGGCATGGCAGAGCTCGCCCACCCCACCTACCCTCTCACCTCACCAGAAATCAGATCACTCTTCTCTTCCAACCTTTAGTGGCCTGCCGGCCAGCTGGAAGCCGTTCATAGCCTGCTCAGCTTTAACACGGCTGCCTCCAGGTCAGTCCGTCACCTGGATGGCCTGCACGGCGTCGTCATGCTTCTCATACTCGATGAATCCGTAGCCCTGAGATCGGCGAGAGCATAAGCAGCCGGAGCAAGCAGAGGGCTCGAGGTCACCTTGTGCTTCCCGTTCTCAGGGTTCGGAATCATCGAGATCTGCTTGATGCTCCCGAAAACCTGCGAGCGCTTGTCACTCGTGCACTACCTCGTGCACGACGAGGGACAAGCGAAGAGGCTGCGACGCACTTGAAAGATCTGCTTGACCTCTGACTCCTTCACGTCGAAGAGGACGGAGCCAATGTAAATTCGAGCTGGAGGGCCCGCGACTGGTGTCTGGATGGGAGTGATGAAGGAGAGTAACAGGGAAGCAACTGACATTCAGCGGCTGGGCTTGCGCTTTCTGCGCTGCAAGTGCCGCTTGCTGCAAGAACGATCTTACTTCAGCTTGACATCTCAATCATTCTCTCGACATCTCAATCAATCTTGCCTGTGCGGCAAGCAGGGAGGCAGCTCGTTGCTGCACAGACGTGAGACTCAAGGAGCGACTGAGTGGGCTTCTACCTGAAGCAAGTGCTGGCCAGCAAGCCCAGGAATGCCTGCCAGGGTGAAATGTTTGTCTTGCGCTGAGGATAGGAAAAAGAGAGTTCAACCAGCCATGCCGGGAAGCAGCCCGGGAACTCCTAGGCCTGGGCGAATGCAGTGCAATGAGCTCTTGGAAGTGGATGACAGGGCCGAGGGTTGAGGTCGGAAAGAATAAGAACCTGCGGCAGCGAGGGGGGCCATGGCTGGAGGTCGACTGACGAGAAGTTGAGGAGGAAGAATAGTCTTCGATGCTACATCAGCCGTACAGAGAGCGTATCCATCTTACCACAGGTGCGTTGGCGGAGACTGTATTGTGCGGTCTGCCGACTTTGATGGGTCTAAAAAGCTCCTCAATAGAGATGCCAGTAAATTCGCCAACCATGGAGAATTTCCAAGCTCTCACACTCATACTCAAAGAGTTAACAAAACAAGTTCTTCGAGCTACGCAAGCTGAAACCGAGATGATTGATGATAAAACAACAGAAAAACAGCTTGACTTACGACAAAAGTTGTAAGCGTTTGAGGGGTTGCAGGACACAGAAAAAGAAAGAAAAAGAGAAAGAGGGAGGGAGGGAGGGATGGAGTCAGCGAGTCAGGGAGGGAGGGAGAGAGGGAGAGAACGAGATAGAGATAGAGAGAAGAGGGAGGGAGGGAAAGGGAGAGGAAGGGAGGAGAGGGAGAGGAAGGGAGGAGAGGGAGAGGAAGGGAGGAGAGATAGAGATCGAGATAGAGATAGAGAATGAGATAGAGAGAGAGAGAGAGCAAAAGATTGATTGAAAGCGAGAGAAGGGAGAGGGAGGGAGAAAAGAAGAGGAGAGAGAGAAGGGGGGGGGGGGGGGAGAGGGAGAAAGAATAAGAAAGTCACGCAGGGAGAGAAGAACAAGGGGGAAGGAGTGGGGGGAAAGAACATAAAGAAAAAGAACAAGAGAGAGTAAAAAAGAGAAGAAAAAACAGAGAAAAAAAACGTAATTTGATTAATTTTGAGAACAGTGAAATTCAAGAGCACAAATACATCTTTGATATTCGGAAAGAAAAAACATCGCAGGCATCGCCTCGCAGAACATACCTGCCAGCAATCATGAAGCCATCCATCGCCTTCTCACACGCGTCGGCTTGAGCATCATTCATGTACTCTATGAAAGCATATCCCTTGGACTTCCCGGTGGTTGGCTCATACGACATTTCTCTGCAGCATATCACGGACAGACGGTGAAGTCTCAGATTCGGTCACATCGTCTTGATGGGCCCAAACGGCTGGAAGATGGCGCGGACATCGGCTTCCTTGAGGTCGAAGTGCAAGCTCCCCACATACAGCCGATTTCGCTGCGGCGGCTTCACCATGCCTGCTATCGTTACCAGCGCCAGTTGCGCAATCACTGTCAAACCTAGCAGCGGGTTAACCACTGGGACGCTGACTGTCAACGCAAGTCAGCATGAGATTGTGGGGTCCTAGTCAGTCACCTTTCGCCATCGCCATTGCCGTCTTCGCCGCATGCACCGCCTTTGCCGCTCGTATGGCCTCAATTTGTTTGGGAGTGAGACCGTCCTCGAGGTTCCCTGCAGTCTTGTTAGAAGCCGCATCTATCTGACTTCAGTGCTCAATCAAGGTTGATGAAAACACCTTCACTGGAAACATCCCAACCACTCTTCCGCTTCCTCTTCCGCGCTGGTACAAATGCATCAAAGAATGACCGTAATTGGGCTGTTCGTCTTACGTGCTTGCTCTGACCCTGTTGCAAATGTCACAACCAGCAATTTCTCACAGAAACTATCAAGACTGACCTCCTTGCATGCTGTCTCGATTTTGTAAACCTCCCGCGACCTGAAGCATGCATGTTATGAATCAAACATATTATCACAGCAGCAAGAAGCTATTCTTTCTAATTGAAATTCTCTCCATCACATTATTCATGCATCCTGGTATCATGATCGTCATTTCACTGCTCATGTTCTGCTATCCAATCGTCAATCAGTCAAGATCTACCGCCGACTCCTTGAGATATATGTTTTGTTAAATACTGACATAATTCTTGTCCAGCGTATCCTTCATCTTCACTACTCCCACCATTTTTGGATACCGCTAATGTCACAGTATAAATTTCCTCTTCATCACCTCTTTTCCTCATTCAGGTAAGCATTTCCACTCTTCCTCGTCCTCGTCCTCGTCCTCGTCCTCGTCCTCGTCCTCGTCCTCCTCTCCCTCGTCCTCGACCATCAGCACTCCTCGTCCTCCATCACCTCCTCGTCCCCTCCAACACCTCCTCTACCTCCTCTTCCTCCTCTTCCTCCCATTTGGTTCCCTCGCCTCCGTAACCTCCGTCATTTTCTTGGGGATTCTTTGAGTGAAGGTTTCAAGTTAAAGAGTCATCGGACGCTCAGGGCCCAACCCGACTGGCCTGAGGGCCCGGGTCCGACTCGGCCACTGCCCGGCCCGGTGACTCAGTGACCCGCCCGCGGCCCGCCGGCCGGGGGCCGGCCGGCGGACATGCATCATCCGAGGCTTCACAGAGTCAAGGCTTCGGATCGGATCGGACCGGCAAGAGCCTCCGAAATACTCAAAGTTACATACGCTATGAGATAAAAATCAGTACGAGGCCCCCGAGGACAATCCGATGATCAGGAGAGCCTGGTGGCGGCCGGGGCTCAGGCTGCCAGGAGTCATCGGAACTGAAGCCTCCGGGTCACGCCGTGACTCAGTGACCGGGGGTGGGCCCGGGCCCCGGGCCCCTGAGCGGCTGGGCCGCCGCCAGCCAGCCCGGCCTGCCAGGCCGCCGCGGCGCCGCCCGGAGGCTGGGCCCCGGGCCGTTCCCGGAACTTTGGAAGTGATGCCATGATGAGCCTGTCAAGCGGCGGCCAGGCCCGGGGTTTACTTTTTATGTTCCCGGGCCCTTCGGCTGAGTCCCCGGGCCTTGCCTTGGAGGCTGCGTGGGCGGCCCGGCCGGGCCCGGCGGCCGCGGGGGCCGGGCCGGGCCGGGGACCCGGGAGGCGGGTCCGGGCCGCACTGCTTGGCGACTGAGTCCGGGTGGGGCAGCGGGGTGTCGTCGTCAGCAGCGGAAGGACGGGATCGACGAGGAGCAAGGCTTTGAGGCAGAGAGAGGAGAGAGAGAGGAGAGGGAGGAGAGGAGAAGTCACAAGCCTCACGTCTTTTCTTGCTCGATCAGCTGCTTCAAGGACAGTGCAGAAAACTCTGTGTTCCGAGTTGGCAAGGGCTGCCGTTCTTCAGTGGCACGACGGGGTCAGGGAGACTCTTGGGTAGAGGAGGCATAAGCAACAGGGCATAACATTCGACAAGACAAGGATGGGTGGTTCTTCTAGCAAGAACGACTTCTCGAATCAGATAGGAACAGGATCGCTCCCACCAGGGAGTGAGGAACTTGAGATCGATGCCGATATGACCCATCTTGATCTTCGCCTGAAAAGGTTTACCTTATCCCAACGTTCTTTAAGTCACACGCGCTTGTTGTTTGTGAATCTCTGCCAAATTATCCTTCTTACTCTTTGATGACTTTTTTCGATTTGACTGATAAGATTCAGGTTGACGACGCTGCCATGGGATTTGTCCGTTCTCACAAATCTGCGCGAGCTGGATTTGAGCATGAATCTGTACACACAAGTGCGCTTTTCATGTGCAACACACTTGATTATGTCTGTGACTATTGCATCAGCTGCCTGAACAATGTGTGTGGCGCGATGGACATTTGGCAACCTCACTCACCAAGTTGTCAATAAATCAGAACCGAATTCAGATGCTGCCTGAAGGTAAGCGGACGGATCGTATCCTGAACTCAAGTTCTTACGAGTTTTGAAGAAATTCAGGAGATGACGGCCTTGCAAACTCTCTGCATCTATGACAACATCATGACAAGTTTACCAAAATCAATACATCGGCTCAACAATTTAACTCAGCTTAGTGTGAGAAACAGCTGGCTCTGTGGAAATTCTTCTGATCCCCTTCTCTGCAGATCTACAACAACTTTATCACTGAGCTTCCAGAAGAGTTCTGTAGAATTCCGAAGCTTCAGTTTGCATTCTTGTCTAACAACAGATTAACATCGTTGCCCAACGGACTGGAACAGCTCACTTGTTTGCGTGGGTTTTACCTTGACGGAAATCCCATTACGGTCTTTCACTTCTATTTCATTTTCATGTCCTGTGAAATAATTTTTATATCACAGGAGCTTCCAGGCGGTTTCTACAAGATGCCGAAGATGTAATTGGCGATAAAGACACAGCGATTGTTCTGATGTCGCTGTCAGAGAGGACCTCACGCTCTGCAACTGTAGTCTAAGACACATTCCCGAGGGCTTATCACAGCTTACCACCCTCAAAGAATTGTACTATCTGTCTGATCTCGACCATCTTGTCACATTGATGCAAGGTATTTGAATGGAGCCTGCGGCAACAAACCTGTTCGTCGCGACAACATCCCTGAGAGCATTATCAAGATGGGGGTCCTCAAGGATTGTTATGACGGGCAGGTAAATTCACCGATCGACACAACTGAAGAATTGACACAAGTGCTTTAGATATAGCTGGTGCTGAATGTTTTGAAACGGTTTCACTAAACTGCAAGATCTAATTTTCATCGATCTTTTATGGCTTCCACACGCTCTTCATTGATTTTTTTTGTACTAGCCGTCTCATTCGTTTAAAACTGCAAGTACCATGCAGGTATTCAAAATAAACGATCTCCATGTAGGACAGCCTGTAAATATTTTGTGTTGATCGTATCCCATCTCAAAGCAACAAAAGGCATGTAGCCATTCCAAAGCACCCTACCCTTGGATGCTGCGAACCTCACTGGTCCACAACTCCCCGCTGCTTGGAAAGAGCATGTGCAGCCTCCCTAACACTTTGCGGTACATAAAGTTTGCCCCTAGATCCACCACGGGCGATATCTCCGCTTTCCATTCCAATTCCATCGATATTGCTTCCCGACGTTGACTCCCTGGACGAGTCATCACCTTGTGGTCGTGGCATTATCTTCTTCACTCTCCCGTAGCTCATGGTGGCGACACTCCTCCCGCTCGGCCTCGGCCCTTGAGAGCTAAAAGAATTCCTTGGGGAATCGGTACTATTTGCAATATTCGTCACCTGAGGGGAAAATGTACCCAAATCTTTCTTTACTGGCCCACCAGCCTGTGGAGAGAACTTCCTGAGAGCCTTGACTTCTCTCGTATTCTTCAGATTGCTCATGCCTTGTCCAGAGACAGAGTAATCCGACCCACCCGCATTCTCATTAGAGCCCCGTCCTTGATTTGCGGGCAGCCTAATCGCAGCTTGATCAACTGAAGTGTCTGTTTGCCAAATCGGGGTCCAAGGAGTACCTTTGAAGAGTGAGTTCGCCTTGGAAGAATCAGTTGGATCCTGCTTTGGGACCCAAAGAGATTGATCACTTGGGATTTGAAGAGGGAGATCACTAAGATTTAAATTTACACCCGCTGTTGTGAAAGAGCTGAATGTTTGATCATACTTCCATCCTTGCCATGATGTCCATTCTGAGCTGGGCAGATGTTGGAATGCAGCATCAGTTCCCATCACATTGGCCGATTCTGGAACTGCTGTGTAGGACTCCTCAACATTCTGCATATTATTCGTTCGACGGACGTCATCCTCACCGAGGATGAAGTCAGCTGCTCCTGTTGCTACATCACTAGCATCTTGAATTTTCGACCGGACAGGCATAGAAGCACTTCCATTCATAATTTCTTGTCTTGCAATATCAGGTTTGGTGTGCATGCCGATTACGGGATTTGATAGTAAACCCTGTGCCAAAGGAGGTGCCATTTTTCCAGTAACATTGCGTCCTGGGGCCACTGTAACTGTGGTAGACGACCACGCTTTTGCACCCAGTTGGTTGACAAGTTCAGGAGCTCCAAACGTTTGTATGCATGCTGTTTGCGAGTGATCCATCCATTCACTGCTTATGGGCATTTCTGATGGTGGAGGAACATCTGCTTTTGTTCTCTGCACGTGAGATCCATTTGTACTGTTCGCTCCGTCTATCATATACTCAGATTACAGTTTCAAACACATAGCTACAGAACCTGGTGGCTGTCTTGAAGAATCCAGAGGCAAAGTCCTTTTCGCTAACTGTAATTTTGTTCGAACTGGAAACCTTTCCCTACTTGGATTTTCATGTTCCAATTCTTCAGCCTGCCTTGCTCGAAGGTCTTCCTCGCGCCTGCGCCTCTCTTCCAACGCCTGTTTTTTCAAAGTTGCTCTATCAACAATTTCAACTTCTTTCTCATTTTGTCGATCTCTGTAAGTCACATCCCTCTGTTGCTTGTCCTTGTTCTTGATTTCTCGTTCTTCCCTTTCTGCCATGAATCGCCTCAAGCTTGCAGCAGTCTGATCTTCAACCTCGTATCTAGCAAATTCAAATAGACTTGGAATCAGTTGCACAGGGTTCAGACAAGTGTTCATTTTCAAATTCACCTGTTTGTGCTGAAAAATTTCTCCTGCTTGACATCATATCCCCTACGGTAACCTCTTCCTTCTTGCATTCTTTGCATGTGAGATGGAGCATGCTGTTCGAGAATGCCACGAGCTTCTGGTCGTTCTTCTTCACGAAGTTTCCTCCAAGCTTCTTGGTCTGCATCAGGCCATTCTACTTTCTGGTTTCGTTGATCAATTCTCCAATAATTTGCCGCATTACCCTGTCTGGACTGTAGGTTGGGCCTCTCCAGGATGGATTCATTTCTTTCTCCTTGTTCCACTTCCGTGGCTTTCAAAGAATTTGAAGAATCCACATTCTCCTGAAAATGCCATGAATATCTTTCAAATTATGATTCCTTCATTACCTCAGACTCTCTGCTATCACTCTGCTTATGCCCTTCATCTTGTCCAGGTTTCGCTCGAGCAGCTAACTTCTCTTCAATTGCAGCAAGTCTAGCCTGAGCAGCAGCTCTTCGCTCAGCTTCCATTTTCTGCTCCTCCTCCTCTCTTCTTTTCCTTGCTGCCTCAATTGACTTCTTCATCAATTCATTCTGGCTCGCGACTTCACGGTCTTGCAATCGTTTTTCTTCATCAACTCTGTGAAAATCAGAAGTGCGAGACCATCGCTCTTCCTCAGATCGCCTGGGCTCATCATTTCTCTGTTGAGGTGACACAATTAGAACACCCTTTGACCAAAGTAATATTCAGTACCCATCTGTCTCTTTCACGCTCTCGATCAAATCGTCTTTCGCGCTCTTCAACTATCTGTCTTTTCTGTTCCATCTCTTCTTGCCGTCTTCGTTGTTCTGCTTCTTCTTGCAATCTCTTTTCGCGCTCATAAGCTTCTATGTCTGCTCTTCGTTGTTGGATGATCAATTCTTCCTGCATTCGTTCAAGCTCTTGCTGTCGATTGATTCGTTCTCAGAAAATTCAAAGCGTAGACAATTGACTGTACCTGTTTTTTCCTCGCCAGAATAATTGCTTCCTCCTTTGGATCGATGGGAGCTGCCTTCACTTGAGATTTAGACGAATCATTTCCTGAACCAGCTATGACAATCGGTTGTTGGAAATCCATTTCATCGTCATCATCTTCTGCCCAATCATGATTGGAAAATTGAACAAGAGGTGGAGGTGACAAATCTTTCTTAAATGCTTCTTGTTCCTTTGCATTGGCACGAGACTGTGGAGGCTCCTGGCGTGGAAATGAGTTGGCTTCTTCACGGCTGCCAATTTGCCAATCCTGTGTCAATGTCATCGCTGGACGACTTGAAGTTTCGCCAAGTTTAGGAAATTCTGCCCCTGAATCTGGTTTAGCATTCGCAGAATTCAACACAGGATTCGGTTGCACTGATGATGTGTTCCAACCCATGGGCTGCGAAGGTCGTGGCACTTCGGGTGCAGCAGATACAGTTGCCGAGCGCAGGGGGCTGTTCGAGTTGGAGACCAATGTACCACTCGCTGATTTCTGTGAAGCAGCCCAAGAGCCTGTGCCAACCAGTTGAACATTAGGATCGAATCCGTTGTTCTCCTTGCGACGACTAGGTAGGTTGATAGGTTTTGGAAATGCAGCAGCTGGACCGGTCTTCTTCGCCTCTGGTTTCTTCCCCGGATATCCTCTTCCTGCTTAGGCCAATTCAGTTCAGCACCATCAATCATGGGAGGTTGAACCTCCAGGAAACATCCTGCATGCGATGTGAAAGCTGAACCAGGAAGTTTACTGTGGTTCCTGAAAATGAAATATTCATTATTTCTTTGGATTCTATGCCTCCATCTAAGCATGTCACTTGTGCAGTAAATCGTATTGAAATCAAATCGAGAGCAGAACACTCTTAATGCTCCCTTCACAGAGATAGATACAACCGACATCACGAAAGCAATCAAAACTGGTCGAAATAGTCAGACCAGAGCCAACGTCAAACAAAGTCTCCCCGACTTTCAGTTCAATTCGTTCCATTTCGACTGAATTTATTTCCTTGGACAAACATGCAAATCATGGTACACGATTCGAAAGCAAAAACACATGAAATCTGGTTAAATTCGAGAAAGTAAGCAAGAGAAGGATACAGGGTTGAGGTTCCACAAACACGTGAGAGCGGAGCCTGCAGTACGCAGGCAAGGGAGATAGGCTAACGTAAGAGCAGCATCTGCAAGTCTGAACCGGCAGCGGCCCCAATGGGATCTCGAACCCTGCATGGACAGGTGGACATTTTGGAGGGAAGACGGGGTTTTCTTCATACTTGGGGGTAGTACTGACCAACAGAGGGTGGGGGTGATTGAAGCTTTGGAGAAGGGTGAGTGGGTGGTGAACTTGGAGGTGGAGGGTAGCAATGGCATCCTGTGGTAGATGCGGTGCCCTAGGGGTAGTGCGAAAGAGAAAATCAGGGGTACCTCTGATTTCAAAGAAGGACATAAGTGAGTAAAGGTGAATTGCTCTCTCATCATGCTTTTTAAATGGCCCTGCTTCTAGGGGAGGGGTAGGGAGTGAAAGAGTATATAGAAAAAGAGGGTGGGGGTGCTTTTCTTCAATCGTACCCTAGAGTGGTAATGCTGGTTGTTGTTGGGGTGGGTAGGTAAAATCGATGGCACGTGTTCGGGGGTCCTTCTGAATGCGAACGCAGATCTTTACTCAAAGTTAAGTGAAAAATCAGTACGAGGACAATCAGGAGAGTCGAGGAGGCTTGACCCTGACACTGTCGCACAGGCCAAACGGCGAGAAGAGAAAAGACAGCGAGAACCAAACCTAAACCTGCCGACTGCTGTCCCCCAAACTTAACTGATACCTTCACTTAACGGCGCGCAGGACAAGTCCCCCGCGCGGCCATGCCAGCGATGTCGCGGTGGCCGCCGCCGAAGGAATGAGCACTACGATCGGCCCGGGCCGGCCCGGGCCGGCGGCTGACGAGTGGCGGGCCGATCACTACGATCGGCCCGGCCCGGGCCCGGGCCGGCAGTGAGGCGGGCCGCCGCGCCGCCGGCCGTACTTCGCGGCCATCGCCGCCCGGCCGGGTTGGCCGATCATGCGCGGACGGACTCGGGAAGGCTACTGGAGGTGGCCCACTCCCGGCGGATCGGATGGCATGCCATGATGGGAAGTTAATCCTGGATTTTCTACGAGTACTATGTCACATCATCAGTGTTTTTGACAATGATGGGCCCCCGGGATACCGGGACTCCCGGACTCGGGGAGTCAGGCCTGGCTGAGAGTCGGATCAGGGCCGCCGCACTGCGCAACTGAGCCCCGGCCCGGGCCACTCGTGCCGCGCGGCTGTGTGGGAAGCCTCCGCAAGGAGGTGGCCCGTCGGAGTGCCACCGTGTGTGAAGGGGAGCCCTCTTTACTCAAAGTTAAGTTAAAATCAGTACGAGGACAATCAGGAGAGACTCGGCGAGGAGGCTTGACCCTGACACTGTCGCACAGGCCAAACGGCGAGAAGAGAAAAGACAGCGAGAACCAAACCCAATCCTGGAGCCTATTTCAAAGTTGGTCAGTCTTGCTGCTACGGGTGTTGGAGTGCCAGGCCAGGCTTGGTTGGTAGGTGCTCATTTTAAAAAAGGATAATTCAATAATCATCCGTCATCACGGTGATATCTTTAGTCAGGTTAAGTTAAATTTCGTACGAGTATAATCAACCCGGCTTGACCCTGTCGGACACTCGAGAGAGCCTCGAGTCTGGAAGCTCTGAATCCGTAGGTACTAAAGGTTTACTTAACTTGGTCCACTATGTCACTACTATTCTCAGGGCCTGAATAGCGTTTTTGAATGGTTAAATCGCAACGTTTCGATATCTCGGTAAAAGCCGACGAGCGGCGCCCTGGCAGGGCGTTCCACATAGCGTACACTGCATGGCGTGCGCAGCCTCGTCCGACTTCCTTCTCGTGTACCTCTTTCTCTCCATCTGACTGACAACATAACATCAACTATCATCCTGAGACAGCAAGATTGTGTTACTGAAAGCTTTCCTGTTGTGTGTTCAACGAGGACAATGATAACGAATCCAAATGTAATGTTCAACGGTACATATGATTAACATACAGCATCTTTCCATAGTATCATGCATATGTTCAAGAACAGGCAGAGGTGAAGAGGATATTCCAACGGGCTAACGTCACCGCTTCCTGTGCATGTGTCAAGCCAAGCAGATTCCAGTGAGTTCATCTGCGGTCACCATGGATCGGAGACATGAATCCTGAAGGGTACACAAATATTGTGAGCATTTGCTTGAATTTAGGAAGTTCATGCAATAAAAGATTTCATACTGTACGTTTCATGTTGTTGATTTCCTGCATTGACAGCTGGAATCTCATATGACAGCAACGCAACCTTCGCATACGCATCAGATCTGCATTCTTTCTGGATAGCATGGCAACCGCATGAATGCATCGATGGAACAAATCGTTGACAGTTTAAAAAAAGCAATCGTTGTGGTACAAATTGATAACTGGAATCTTTAGCTAGGGTCACCTGCATTTAACCTAGATCTTAAAACCCCTTTCTCCAGGTTAACTAAAGTTGGAAAGACCTCGAGTGATGCTTTTACTTTTATTAATAATAATAACTGCCGTGCCAGGATATTTTTATTACACAAGTGCTACAAATATATTGTTTTATTAGTAAGATTTTAGCCACTTCGGCGCTGCGCTAGTCACTCGTGCCTTTTTAAAAACTACTTTGACGCCACACAAGTAGGGGTACTCTCTCCCTCCGCGACTGTCAATACGATGGATCGGATATTGTTTTTTTTCAGATTACCACTGCGGACTCCTCGCAGCCAAGTATCATTCTACTAGTAAAGCATTATTAAGTGTACAATGTTTTAGCCCCTTTACTAAGAATGTACCCTCCTCTCCATTTGGACAGACGATCTGAGGAGGGGCAGGAGACCAGATGCTCGGAGGGTAGCAGTGAGGAAAGAACAGAGCAGAGACAGATTGGGAGAGAATAGGAGAAGAGGGGGAAAGAGAGAAGAGTGAGATAGGGGGGAGGTGGCGAAGAGAGAAAAGGAGAGGAAAGAAAAGGAAGAAGGCCGGAAGAAAGAACCTCGAGTAGGCGACGAATACAAGTTTGTAACAAAGATCGACACACTCAACTTCGAAATACGATGGAAAGCAATCAGGTTTCTCCCGAAGTAGGAATGATTGCTGAAGACATCAGCGGCTCTGCTGGCTCGATCCGCGATGAAGACATGGAAGTATCCGTGGCAATCCAATCGGACTCCACTCCAGTTCTCATCTCCCCGGTAGATTTGAAAGATTACTGGGATCAACGACAAGATTTTACTTCCGACTTCGTCCGAATGTACACTCAGCTGCCAGGAGACAACATGCAGCGAAGCCTCAACAAGAATGTCATATACCAGAAGAGGCCAAAGCTTGTTCTCTTCTCACAAGATCCGATCTCAGCAGCGATGGCGCTCACTGGGTTTCGCTTCTTGCTCGGTGCCGGGGGGTTTGCTTGGATTGTTGCAATAGCGCTCAAGGTAAAGGAGGTGCACGGGTCGGGGTATTTCGCGTACCTGATTGAGGAGAGAGTGCGACAGTTTTCCATGGCAGACATGACGGAAACAGGAAAGCTAGCATGTGGTTGGGAGTCGTTCTTGGAGGTGTTCACCAACTTCCTTGTTGGTGTGATTGCTATGGCTGCAGGAATGTTGAGCATGGTGAGTGTGAGGCTAGTCAAGCAGGTGAGAAGTTGTGTGGGCAGTGATTTTGATTGCTCAAGCTGTCTTGTTTGCCTGCAGATCATCATGGTGGGTGGACTGATAGATGCGGCTTGCAACTTGTGTGTGTTTATACAGATGATGCTCACCGCACGCGAAAGGACGGTGATGGGGACCGCATGGTATGTGTTCTTGATCGCCATGCTTACGGTGAGACAGAGGCAGTTGTCAAGGATGTTGATTGAACTTTGTATTGGCAGGACTTGTTGATTTTTCCCCTGCCTTTGATCCGATGGGAAGCATATACTATTGAGCTGATAGCGGTGGGGTCGCTCATTCGAATCATCAGCATCGCTGCAAGCTCGACGGTACCGTACAAGTGCCTTGCCATCTTTGTTTTCTTTGCGACGTTGCTTGGATTGCGAGAGGGGATTCGGAGGCGGATGATGAACAAGGCAGCGGGCCTCGGAGAGCAATTCGACGAGGAGTGGAGGCAGCTGAGAGAGCTCAATGCGGTACAGGAGCTCAAGGAGGCTGTCTGCCGGGCTCAGGTTAAATCAACAATGTCTCAAGAAGAAGTAGAAGGAGATGGGGGGGGAACCTCGATCACATGGCTGAGAAGACAGTCCCTGCTGTCTTCTTCGACATCTACCCTTCCGTCGTCGTCACAGCCGAGCATGATAGTTCAGTACGCGCGGGAGTGTGAGGGCAAGGATCTAGACCAGCTGTATTCTCAGGCGGTACTTGTGTCACCCATGTTCTTGAGTAAGGTACAGTCCTGGGCGGAGGCGAGCGACGGATATTTTCTCATGAACATCCCGTCGGCAAAGAGGAAGCACTACCTTCGATGGCGAGACTGCAAGGACGACAGCTCCAAGCTTTCTCGAATCAAATGGGCGTCCATCAAGAACGCTAACCGAGCCATCGAGAAGATTTTGCTGTTGTGCAATGGCGACACGTCGAAACTCACAGACGTGGTCCGTCAGACGATCGTGTTCAAAGAGCTGCGGCAGCTTGTCGAGTGCGTGGAGGTCATCATCAAAGACCCGGAAGTGGAGGTGGTGAGGATCAAGAACCGGCTCGACCCGGACTACGACGCGTCGACGTCGGGAGGCTACAGGGACGTGGGGATAAACTTGCGGGTGATCCACGAGGGGGCGAAGAGGTGGGGGGTAGCTGGGCACGTCTGCGAGCTGAGACTGGCGGTACAATCGCTCCATGCTCTTATAGACTCGCAGCATCATGCGTTGTATTTGTCGATGAAGACCGTTCTTCGTTTCAGGCAATCACAAGAGACGGAAGTTATGAGGGGGAACGAGCAAACAGAGAGAAATCAGGACAGGAGGAGACGGTCGTCGACGTCGTCGGCGACATTGCTTCCTACCCACATGTCAAGCTCCATGGGTTACTCAAAGTCTCTCGCGCAGGAGAAATCCGACATTTCGCTGCTTATCTACAAGAGCATGTATCCCGGCAATATTCTGGACAGATACCTGACATCTTCTGGTCATGGCGTGTCGAAAGCTGATACAACGAGCATTCTGTATTCGTCACACCCGCTGAAGAACGTTCTGCACAAGACTTTGTTTCAGCTGCTGCTGCTGCTTGCGGGGATCGGATTTATCATTCTTTACAGCAACAACTTTCGGTTGAATTTAATCTTCACCAATCATGTTTTACCTGTTAGGCATGCCAGGTTCACATTTGAAGGGTACAAGAACATGAACATCTCTATCAAAGACCATAGCGTGAGGATAGAAGACTTTCTCCTCGTCAGAGATTCTTGTCAGATGTACAACTGGACTTCATCCGTGACAGTCGCGAACAAGGTCTTCTTCACGTTCCCTCATGTGGTCTATCCCAATGGTTTCAAAATCAAGCTGACTCCGGCGCTCATGTCGTACCTCAAGACAGATGCGCTCACATTCCACTACCTGACTGAAGAGGGCGTTGAGGACGTGGCGGTTGACAGAAAGGAATGGAAATATGTCATTCCTCCTTCAGTAAGCTGCAAACTTTTCCCTTTGTTGCCTCTTTGTCAATCAGACTTTTTGCCTCGTGCTGACGAGTCTCTTCTTGTTGACTTGCGCTTCACCTGGCAAGCGACTTGCATATTCCTCATGGCGATGCTGCAGAGCATATGCTGTCTAGGAGCCGCAATCTTCGCCCGGCTTGGGAAGGTTCAGCTCGCAAAGCTCTTGTTTACCTCTGCGTTCCACCTTGTCGGACTTTTTGAGATCTTTGCTGCTTTGTCCCCCGAGTCTCTGTATGCCAATCGGAGAGACTTCTTCATCGCATGGGGAGTGCTCGACGTGTGGGTGGGTCTTGTGGTTCAGTTCCAGGAGCGCTACATGCTCAAGGCCTTCGTCGTCTACTGCACGATCTCAGCCTTCCTGCCTCCTCTGGCTCAATACTATTGGGACGCGTCCAAGCTCAAGGAGTCAGACATCGGGTTGAGCAGCCTAGTCTTGCTTGCTCTGGTTATCTTCTTCGTGTTGAACAGAAGGTTCATCGTCTACAAGTCTCGGCGGCAGATCAGAGGAGACCAGAAGATGTACGACGACTGCTGGAAGGACTTGCTATCCCGGGAGGAAACTCAGCAGCTCCTGAGCTCCCTCAAGATCACATGCGGGCGGGTAAGGCCGCAGCCAGCGCTGCAGTTGAAGATCTTCGATGCCTTGTGCGAGGTGGAGCTTACGATTCTTGACCCGCTGTCGAGCGTGTTGAGGAGACAAAAGAACAGCAGCTTTGCTAGGACGTACTTGACGCGGTCAAAGCGGACGATTATGAAGCAGGACAGGGAGATTGAGTCCCTCGACCAGCTGTACGCGCAGGCGATCTTGCTGGAGCCAATGTTCTTGAGCAAAGTGCAGTCCTGGGCGGAGGCGAGCGACGGACACTTTCAGGGAATGGAGGGGGATCTAATTCGCTGGAGGGAGTGCGCAGAGGAGGCAGAAAAGGCGTCGCAGGTCAAGTGGGCGTCCATCAAGAACGCTAACCGAGCCATCGAGAAGCTCGTCAGGTCTTACTTTGGGAGAGTCTTGAAGCTCACAGACGTGGTCCGTCAGACGATCGTGTTCAAAGAGCTGCGGCAGCTTGTCGAGTGCGTGGAGGTCATCATCAAAGACCCGGAAGTGGAGGTGGTGAGGATCAAGAACCGGCTCGACCCGGACTACGACGCGTCGACGTCGGGAGGCTACAGGGACGTGGGGATAAACTTGCGGGTGATCCACGAGGGGGCGAAGAGGTGGGGGGTAGCTGGGCACGTCTGCGAGCTGCAGCTGCTGCTGGAAGAGTTCGCGGCACTGAAATCAGCGGAGGGGCACAAGAGATACGTGATCTTTAGAAACTCACGATGTGAGTAGAGAATGGAGGTGATACAAATGAATCAAGTGCATGAAGGGAGAACAAAGGTGTGCTCTCATGAAGATTCGCCCGATTTGTGAAGTTTTGAGGTAATTGAAATAAAATCAAAGTGGAACGAAAAAAGCATAAAATCAGCAACAAAAAGATGCGAAAAGCATCTCAGTGATGCTGTGATCAAGCCACATCCCTCCTCATCGTTCTCATCAATTGCAATCTACTCTTCTTCGTTTTCTGCTGCCTTTTAAATCTTTCCCTTCCCACGTCCCTTCCTTCAATCCTCTTGCTTGATTGTCTTTCCCTTCCCACGTCCCTTCCTTCAATCCTCTCGCTTGACTCTCTTTGCTCTGTTTCTACCCGTTGGAACTCATAAGTCATCAAAAGATTTTGAGGGAGCTCAGGAGCTGCTGAGTTTCCTCCCGGGATAGCAAGTCCTTCCAGCAGTCGTCGTACATCTTCTGGTCTCTCTGATCTGCCGCCGAGGCTTGTAGACGATCAACTTTCTAAAACACGAAGAAGATAACCTGCACAAGCAGATCGATCGAAGAAATGCAGTTAAATATTCTACCTTTGCTTGCCTCTCAGTGTTTAGATTTACGTCCCTCACAGTCAACGTAGCTCAAGGCATCTGGTTCGTGAAGAAGCAGTTCAGTCCCCTGAGGGATGAATTGGACTTGCTGCGCAAGCAACAACCCCCGGCGTGTGCTTCTCTCCCATCTGATTAGTAATGATGAGATTGTTTCTCATTATCAACTTCTTTCACGACAGAAGGGTTTTGGTAAAGCTGTATTGAAGGGGTGGTTCAAAAATGGGTAGCAAATGCTACTCCGCCTCCTGACTGGCGAGCCTGATGATAGGCTGCACCGTGACGGGGGCGTGACAAGCTTCCCCGCCTCCTGCCAGACTGGTGAGCCGCCTATCCCGGGCCTCCCCCGACAGGCCGGGCTACCGTCTACTAAACCTCCTGACTGGCGAGTATCCTGCCCCGCGGGGGACTGGGATCAGCGGCGTGTAGGGAGAGCGGAGTGCCGACTGCAGCCCGCCGAGTCTCCTCCCCCTCCCATGGCGCAAAGCACACGAAGGAGATAGCATGGCCTGCTCGCTGAAGGTGGACAAGAAGGGCCGACTGCGGGTGGAGATGAGGGAAGATGGCGAAGAAGAGGAAGACATGAAAGAAGAGCAAGGCGAGGGCGAGGAAGGAGACGGGACGAGCCCGTACCGAGCTTGAGCTGGGCTCCAGGTAAGGAGAGAAGGTAGGAGGCAACCGAAAGCCAAGGTGAGGAGAGGCTACTCTCCTGACTGAGGCTGAGGAAGCTGAAGGGAGGAGGAGTAGGTGGCGACCGAAGGCCAACTGGCAAGGTGAGGAGAGGCAACTCTCCTGACTGAGGCTTAGGGTTTAGGGCGAGGAAGGAGATGGAGGGGCTGTGCACTGAACGGCGGCAACACGTCCATCGCAAGAGTCAAGAGAGTCTTGTTGGAGATCGCTAACAGGCTCGAGATCAAAGTTGAAGGCATCGACATGGAGGAGGATTTGAACACCAAGTCCTGGAACGGGTCCAAGCTATGCATCCTCCTCGGCTCCACGGAGGATGCTCGATGCATGATGAAGGAGCTGCCCTTCTATCTCGAAGGCGCAGCAACCAAGCTCGAAGCAGTCGGCTTCGACAAGGAGCCTGAGGCGGCTGGTCAGCGGGGCACCAGCGACGCAGCGCAGCGACAGGAGGAGAGCGAGGGAGAGTGGCTGGAGTTCACAGACCTGGAGAGGATCACAATGGAGGCAGCATCTCCGTCAAGCCAAGAGGACATGCAGCTCGTCAGCGAGCTGTCAGCAGTCATCGAAGATGCAACTTCTTTGAACGAGGCGGGGACGAGCGAGCCGATCAAGCTGGTCCTGGACAAGGCCGTTGGCAACCTCCACGACACGTTCTACTCTCCGGGGAGCCTGGAGTTCATGTCGCTGGGAGAGTGGGCGAAGACGCCAGAGGAGCAGGGAGTGGGACGCAACGCGCTCAAGGAGAAGCTGGGGAAGTGGCTGCAGAGCAAGCGCTGGACTCGCGTGCAAGGAGAGAGCAAGAAGGCAAGGAGGGGCAGCGCGTTCTCGCCACGGGCAACGGCAGCTGCTGAGCTTGAGCAGGAGGCGGAGAGCGACGACATAAAGCGTCGATCTCTTAGCTTCCTGTTCATAGCACTGAGTAAATTCGCAGAGATGCATGTGCTGGCCTGCTCGCTGAAGGTGGACAAGAAGGACCGACTGCGGGTGGAGATGAGGGAAGATGGCGAAGAAGAGGAAGACATGAAAGAAGAGCAAGGCGAGGGCGAGGAAGAAGACGGGGCGAGCCCGTACCGAGCTTGAGCTGAGCTCAAGGTAAGGAGAGAAGGTAGGAGGCGACCGAAGGCCAAGGTGAGGAGAGGCAACTCTTCTCGGACTGAGGCTGAGGAAGCTGAAGGGAGGTAGAGTAGGTGGCGACCGAAGGCCAAGGTGAGGAGAGGCAACTCTCCTGACTGAGGCTGAGGAAGCCAAGAGAAGATAGCAGAAGTAGAAAGTAGAAAGACGCCTCAGAAGCAGGGTTCGCATTGTAGGCCGTGTACTCCCAGTGCTCGAGCGCCTCTTTAGACTAGGATCAAATTGCAAAAGCCCACAACGAGGCCGAGCAACATTCTAGCAATCTAATTGTAAGAACTTGGGTTCTGACAAACCTCTCAGAAGTTCTTTCAGACGCGATAAGTTCAAGGGATGCGTCTAATCAGGTTGTGAACCAAGTGAAGCCTGCAGGTCCAAGCTAGTGGGCTGGAGCTTAGTCTGTGACTTAGAAGATCCGGTTGGTTGGAGCCTGGGGAAGCTGAGGCGGCGCCGGAGGAATCAAGAGGCGCCGGCTGTCGAAGAGGCAGCACTCGTACAGTGGTCCGAAGTAAGGCGGTGGTGTGTGAAGGGAACTTAAACCCTAAACCCTAAACCCTAAACCCTAACAGCTGAGCTGTTTGGTTGGTCTTGCTGCTACGAGTGTTGGGAATAAAGTGCTGGAGATTGTTGGGAAGTTGATCTGAGTTATCTGAGGTGTTTGGTTGGCTGTGAAAGTCATTGGTGTCTTCGTGCGCACATCATCTGTGAGTCTTGGTCTTTGGGCTTATCAGTCAGCTGTTGAGCTGTTCTACTAGTCATTCATCTGTGCACAGACTCTAGGAGTCAGGAATTGATTCCAATACAAAAAGAAAATTTTCTTTTTGTATTCACGAACAAAGGAATACAAAAAGACTCTACGATAAGATTCCAAGGACAACGAGTTTGAGGACTCTTGGTCTTTGTGCGTCGAATCGACAACGAGTTTGAAGGCTCTTTAAGGCTCCTGGTTGTTGTACTGTACGCTGTTACTCATTTTTTTTGGAACGGTATTGGTAACTCCAAGTTAACGATCATGAGCATGCCAGATCTGCAAGAGGAGTTGAAACGAAGCCATGGTGATGTTCAGGTCGACAAGCTGAAGCATGGGAAGGTTACCTCCAAGGAAAAACTCGAGGACCTGTTCCTTCCTTTCTCAGGTGCCATGAGTCGTTTTCGTCCGAATCTTGGGGCTTGTTTCTTAAAACTGTTGGACTTGTTTCCGATTGACGAGACTGGATCGTTTGTTGGAGAATTTCATGAAATGTGGGAGTCGTCTCCAGAAGGTCTAGAAAAATTCTCTTCGCTGGAGTGGAAGATTCAGGTCACGGCGTTGTTTCTGCATGCTGGGTACATTTGGAAGAATGGGAAGAAATTCAAGGATGCTCTTGACAAGTTTAAGAAGTTGCGAGGAAAATTCGAGGAGGAGGCAATCGCAGCCAGCGAGGATGTGATTGATGGTGCTTCAGAGGATGGAGAGATGGGTAATCCACTCGATTCATCTGTGGTTTTCTCTCCACACAAGTACCAAATATCACCGAGGTTGTTCAGATCCTCAGCTGATCGACAAGAGGTGGAAGTCTTATTTGAGGATATTGCTGAGGTACTTGTAAGCACGAACAGTTATTTTCGAGTTAAGCTAAAGGATGATTTCGACATAGAGTGGCAGATGTCAGGAGGAGGCAACTATCCTTTGGCATTCTTCAAAACTTTGGCACTGGTACGCTGGAATGTGAAGCAACGAAGTGGAGCTGAGCTTATCGAGCTTACCGTGAGGACGAAGGGAGAGATCAGCTCAGAGCGCTAGCGAAACAGCCACTTGAGTCTGAAGAAGCCTTCTGGAGGAACGTGGACAAAATCAAGCTACTGTTTAAGAATCTCAAGGATAGTATTCAAGGTGTTGTGGGAGCACACGAAAGGATGGGGCCGTTAGAGATCCAGATCGCTGAACTCTTGCATGCCAGGTGTAAAGAATCGACTTGTGAATCGTTGCAGTCATTGGCATTGAATAGAGAATTGCGAAATTGGAAGAAGAGGGTTTAGGGTTTAGGGTTTAGGGTTTAGGGTTTTAGGGTTTAGGGTTTAGGGTTTAGGGTTTAGGGTTTAGGGTTTAGGGTTTAGGGTTTAGGGTTTAGGGTTTAGGGTTTAGGGTTTAGGGTTTACGTTATTTTCGGCAGGCGC